ATTCGAGTGATTTGGAGAAAGCCAGTGAAATCGATTATTTTCGCTAGGTTCCTCCAATAAAATATGGTGTCTGCTGTACAACTTAATTCATTTAATCCAACATTTTTATTTAAAGCTTTCGTGACTGCAGGGATTCATATCATTTAATGCAGTTGAAATGTGTTTTGATTAGTTATGGCATGTAAACGTCTTCAGTGTTTTAGCTAAAGTGGCATTATTCCACGTGTTATAGTTTTCGTGCTAAAATTAATAGTTGATTAACCCTTATCACCCAAATAATTAGTTCGTTCACGGAATAACATTTTTTCTTTCAATGAATCACCGATATCTCCAGTAGTATTTATGGAAAGCTGGGCATTTCTTTAGTGATGTGCCACATACGGGAATATCGGACATTTCTTTGAAAATAGCAAAGTTTGTGTTGACAGACATTTAAAAATGTACAGCCCTTTGCACAGCCACTGCTAGATGAAGGCCTTCCCACGCCACGTCTGTCACGGGGGTCCTTTGGCCATACCTCACCACGCCGGTCATTACAGGTCTAGTTCAGAATGCGAAAAAAGTTCCTGGTGCCGAATGAAACTCAGAATGAAAGAGCACCACGGTGGCGAGATGTCGTCTAGTTCGCCTGGTACGCAGGAGGTCGTGGGTTCGATCCTGACCCTGACGATGCCTGTTGTCTATTTGGAGTTGGCATGTTCTCCCAGTGGTCGCGTGGCTTTTTCTCCGGGTTCCTCCGGTTTTCACCTCAACGTTTACAAGCAGGCGTTCGGGGAGTAATTAGCACGTTAAATGCCTTTGGATTGCACTCTCAAACTCACAGGCCCTTTGGATTACAGCCGTTGGGTTGCACTCCCTCGTCGAGGAGGCCGCTCTTATCCTTTTCTACAGTTACATGCTAATCTCTCACATTAACATCATGCTAATCTCTCACATTAACATGCTAAACTCTCACATTAACATAGCCACTTCCGTGCTCTCGTCGAGGAGGCCGCTCTCCTATTTTACAGTTACATGCTAAATTCTCACATTAACATCCCTAGCCCCGGCCACTTCTTTATGACCCTTGAGCTACACCAATTTCAAATATTTTAAAACAGTCTGCCTTCGGCAGGAGTCCGTGCTTTCCCACCTGATGACGGCCGCTTGTGTTGCGCCCGAAACGTCGTGATTTATTTTATTTTATACCTACGTGACTTTACCGAAAGAACCAAAGAGTATGCGTTTGGAGTGTTTGGCTGCGACGATAAATTCCCACGTGTGTTGATAGAAGCCACTTCGATGAGCTATCATGTGTGGCCAGGTCGCCTCTAAAAACGAGCTCATTGGCTTTTACCTGGTAAATAAAATAGTTATAATTTATAGTTATAGTTCTAAATTCGGCTTGTTAGATACATTCCGGGTTCATAGTGCAGTACACGAACCACCGCACCACCGCTCCAACACTTAATTGTAACGCTGTTTTTTGCAAGTGTGTAGTGATTCGTCGATTTCACAATACTTGCCTCGAATTGTGCGTGCATGAATATGTCCTTTACGTTTCATGAAAATGATATGCACATGTTCTACTTGGGCGAATGGTTGAAAAAGACGAAAGAAATATGACAGAACGAACGAGGCAGCCAATGGCAAATGTAAAAACAAGGTTCACAAAGGATCGAGTTGCGATCTGAATCCTGCCAATTCATGAAAGCGCGAGGGACGGTTGGCTGGGAGCTGAATCTATACATGCCCTGTATATTGCGCAAAGAATATAACTTGGGTCTGTCATATTTTTGCTGTGTATGTCAACTCCCGTTGGCAGGAGCTCCAAGTGGGAAAATCCACTCCACGTGGGCCACACATGTCCGCTTTGAAACATTACGCCCGTGTCGATCAAAATGGGCTTCAGAAGCAAACAAGCTAAGCCACTGGTTGTCGGAGCACCAAGCCATGGGATTCCTTCCCACAGAACATCAGATGCTCTTTATCAAATGCACAGTTCTTTGCTGGGGTCGTCAAGTGCCGTTTCAAGGACAGGGGGCCTTAGAAATCTCCCGTGACCTTTCCCCCTCCATCCTCCCCACCTCTGCTCCCCAGTCGCCCTCCCGAAAATAAATAACGAAACATAAATAAATAAAAAATCTAATAAATTGTAATCTTAAGTGACAGTTCCTCCACGAATGCGTTTCTAAAGGGGGTATTGTATTTCTTTCCGTGTGCAAATTGTGATTTTTGTGGATGTTACAATTTCCACTTGCTTAACGCACTGCCACAGCCGGACATTTATTCAACGTGTCGTCGTTTTGTACCCAGCTAATGTGTTGTTTTGTTTAAGTGTAACTTTGCGTTGGGGGAAAAAGGAACCCGAACATGACAACACGGTCACGCAAGTCAAGTTGCATTGTGAGGTCGCACTCGTTATGCACAAAGTGCTGGCCGCGAGTGAACCACAGCCCCTTGCTGATCTCGTCAAGGAGCACAAACCACCACCTGAACTCCGGTGGTCATCCTCGCAGCGGCGGCTTTTGGCTGCAAGCCATCGAACCAAGACGCTGGTCACCGCATCGCGGCGCTTTTTAGACGCGCTCCTGCGGCCGTCTGGAACGCTCTTCCTTCCGATATTAGGAAGCCGCTGGAACTGCGCACTTTTAAACCTTCTAGACTGAAAACTCATTTATTTAAAACTGCATTTTTGTATTTAGTTTGTTGTCCTTCCCCCGCACCTCCGGTTAGCACGGCTGGCTACGTACGGTGTGAAAGAAGTTCAGCAATGCATACAAGTCACGTATTTTTTCTCCCCCCCCCCCCCCCCCACTGCCCCCGGTTAATTCTCTGTCGCACACAGTTGGTACCTTTGTGTAAAAAAAACAAAACTCGACATGTGGGAGCTCTAGCGATGACGTACGCGGGACGAAGCGGCAGATTCGTCACGGTTGGTTGGATGCGTGCACCTCCGATTAGCACGGTTGGCTACGTACGGTGCGAAAGAAGTTCAACGTTCATAGGTGCGTGCTCGCCGCACGGCTCTCTGCGTGCAGCGTGCGGCACACTGACAGCCGTTGTCCCGAGCGTGATTGACAGCCCGAGTGTGACCAATTCCAGGGACGACTGGAGGGGGTGGTGGGCGAGGGTGACAAAAGACTTCCACTGTTGTCAACAGGGGGGGGGGTCAGGGGGAGGGGGGGGTTGCCCTTTGTTCTTTTGACCTCTTGAGCCATCATTTAAAAAAAAAAGAGACCTAATTAAACCTCGCAGACCTTCGGCACCCGAGAGCATTCACACGTCCATCACCATTTTTTGGCAGTCGCTGTGCGGGGGGACGGTTGTGAACGTCGCTTTTGCTTGGCTTTCTTTTTTCAGATGCGTTAACATTCGCACCTCTTTGATACATTGGTGAAGACACTGGGTAGATTTCCTGCAGCCGTGCCGCTCCTAGATTTCTGGCTTTCTGAGGCTCGGCCATTTACGCCGAACCCTGATAATGCTTTGAGGTGCCTTCGTCTGACTCTGCATCAGTGCAACAGTTGACATCGCATTGCGTGCGCACGTGTGTATATTCACGTGCGCACGTGTGTATTCACGCGCGGGGGGTGACTCCGTGTCTGTATTCTTGCACGCGTGTTGGATCCGAAGAGGTAAAAAAACAACGCAAAGGTGCAGCCCTGCAAGTGCCAGCTCGCGCCACGGCTGCGGGAAGGTCCTCTGCTGGAAGGGCCTCCGTATGCGGCTCACTCTTCCACACTGGTCAGACCATTTTATATAAATATCACGAGTGCTCTTTAACTTTACCTTCAAGAAACTTGCACATTGATTAGAAGTATGCCACGAATACAAATGAAAGCACAATAATAATAATTCTATCTGAAGGACATCGTGATGTCTTGCATGGCATATAACTTATGAATATTTGGCTACGCAAAAGCAGCGTGGGTCAGCGTGCGTCGCCATTTAAGGATCTGATTCAGTGTTGCAAATTCCAACATTATTTTTGGCAGAGGTCAGCAAATCCATCGGAACAATCACTGTTGATTTTCCACAGAGTGGTACGTATGCCTTTTGGCGTCCTCTGGTCTAACACCGTTTGAGACGAGGCTCAAAAGAAAGCTGTCTCTGGTGTGGTTTAATTAGTTTCATGGGCAATGCATTTATTATCAGAATGTTTTTTGTTTGCATTCTGACCACAAGCATTGTGGTTAATGCAGACATGATTCCTCGTAAAAGGTTTCAGTTTGGTGTTTTAACATCTTAACACAGCTGTTTTGTTGCCAGAAAAAAGGGGAAAAACCATTTATCATGGTACGTATTTTATCGACCCCGGAGATGAAGACAGGCTGATGCAATCTCCCTCCCTCCTGTCCAACATGCATTTTTGAGCCGCCGCCCACGTGCTATTTCCACAGCGCTGTCCAGATGGGTTTCGTGGCCATCGTTTGGTTTTATAAATGAACAGAAAAGCCAAGGGACCGGTATTGGTAGTGGTGTCCAAGTACACTTTTTTTTTTAAAAAGAGAAACACTCCCCACATTTATCATTGAGACTGCCTTACAACAGGAAAATATGTCAAAAGGCTGATGTAATATTCCGTGACAGAAAGGGCAGGAAGATGCATGACTTCCCTAGGGTTTGTTTGATACTCATGGGCAAATAATAGTCAACTGCTCGCGTGTCAATTCAAAAACCGTTAATTTGGCAACAATCTAAAAAAATGCCACTTTTTCTCCAGACCAGTGGTGGTGTGATATTTAACTGTATACCAGTCACTCCCTCTCTCTCTGCCCTCCCCGGCTCTCTCCGAAGATGGGCCCAGATACGTCAGCCCCACTCTACGATTTCTCTCATTCACAATGCAGTGACGGCGATACACGTGGTGATCAATGTGTGTGTGTGTGTTTGGTGTCGCAGTTCAGCGAACGCACAGCGCTCTGCCGCGGTGTTTGTTAGAAATTGTGCTTGACGACAGTGGAATGCGCGTGAATGCAACGGACGCGCGTCGGCTAAAGACGATCGCAAGCACGGAGTCGATAAAAACACTTTTATTGAGTAGCTTTGGCGACGTCAGCAATCAAATCGACGTCCAGAATTTGCGCCCACGTGGTGATGCATGCAGTAAAAAAAAAACACGTTCAAGTCGACTGCACACACGGATGGTCTACGGGAATCCGATATGTCATCAAGCGGACACTATTATACATTTTTATTCGTAAAGGAAAAAAAAATATATCTTAATATTACAAATGCTGGGGTGGCCGACTGATTCATTGCTTGGGTGATGTCTTTTCACATCGTGCCCTCGTCGGGATAAATCTAAACAAGTGGGCAACTGCGGCTCATGTATCACCCCCACGGGAAGCGTGGAACATTCTTAAATAAACACTGCTCACATGCAGTGAGACGTGCGAATGCACCGCCGCTGGTATGTTCAATTTGGAATGTTCCACTCTAACAAGGAGGTGATGGGGGGAATTTAACCCAAGGATAAGCCCAGGCGTTGATCTCAAGGTACGCCAAGGATGGGTTATGTGGTGTCAGCTTATCAATGAATGAAAACATACATTGTCCCTTAAAATGAGGGATGGTATTTCCTCTACATTGATTCGTGGTAAATGCACAGCCGCTGAAGTTTAGAATTGCCGTGATGACGTTCGGGAGAGAATGAAGGTAAAAATAAAACTGTACAAAAATACAGTGGCTTTCGATGATTAATTCTGAGTGGGTTTACACTTTGAGGCAGATTCAAATGTGCGGCATTAATATTTGCAACGTAAATAATACAAGAAGAAAAAAAAAGTTGGCAGTATGATATTCAAAACAAATAATAATGATAAGGAAAAAAAAACGTCATACATTCTACAACACATTACAAACGACTATATGTGTTTATCTGACATACAGCGGAACCTGTTCAATAAGCTAACACGAGAAAAAATGGTAAAGACACCCATCCTGTGATGATAGCAGAGAGATATCACGTGCAGATTGCTTTAAAATGGTTTGGATAGAGCTCAGTTTTTTGGGACAGCATGGCTCCCAATCATGAGGTTGATGATTTAAATCCTGATCAAGGTCAGCTCAGCGCCAGCACCGTCATCATCATTCGTCGTCATCTCTCTGGGGCCAGTAAATTAGCACCATTTGGTGAGGCTACTATCCACAGGTTGGGGGGATGAACAGTGGTTGTATGAAGGGGGGTGGGGCGACTAGTGGCCTCCATAGGAATGTGGAATTTCCACCACCGGTCCAAAGGAGAGAATCACCACCCAGTGTCCGTCAGAACAGAAACTCTGACTTCATTTATTTGAAAACGTGTAGCCTTACTGTGGCTGTGTGGTTGGAAGTCTTGTTTGCCGCAGCAACAACGCGCAGCTTTAATTTAATTGTAGTTTCAAGCATTAACCTGCGGTAACCCTAACTGACATTTGACTTTCCCTGGTGCCCTCGCCTCTCCCAATGGGTTGCCAATAACCTGCGGTGACCCTAACTGACATTTGACCTTCCCTGGTGACCTCGCCCCCCACCCCCAATGGGTTGCCAACAACGCCCAACCGATTGGCTTCTCAGATGCGTTTTCCGGCGGTGCTCTCGCGTCGTTTTGGCAACAATGTCCGACGTCTCGCCCCACGCGATGGGTGCGTTTTTGAGGAGCCAAATGTGAAGCAGCTCAAGCTCTTCCTCAACACGCAGCCACTCGGCAAAAAACAAAAAAACGAAAAAACCCTTCCAGAGGAGCAGGAAGAGTACCGGCCACTGTTGTTTTCTTCTTGTTGCTGTTGTTGTTGCGAGGAGGTATTTAACATTCTGAAATCCCGTTTTCCGAAAACGCCCCCGGCTTGGAAAAAAGCGGCATAAGTGGGGCGTCGCTCACGTCTGCTGTGACGCAAGGGAGTGCCCTTTGAAGCTTTGCGCTTCCACAGAAAAATGACATTAAGTGTCGTGCGATTGCTCCCGATGTTTTTCCTCGCAGGCTCACTTCCCCGTCGGGAGGTATTTTTTTTTCTTCCAGCGAGCCTATCGTCAAGAGCCGCGTGGAGCCATCAGCGGCAGAGGAGGCCGTGAGCTCACTCCATAAGCTTGGGCACGCAACCTCTCAACAGCATCATTACCTGACTGCGAATGTTCAACAAAGCTCCAATTAAGGTCATATCGCCAACAAAATATATATTTTTTCATCCATCTATTTCGAAAAAATAAAATATCTTCATAACTTGTGGATAATTATTGCAGCTGTAACAATTGCCTACATGTTAATATCGTATCGATTAAATAAGCAATATATTTTATTACATGTAGATAAGAGGATAAATAAAATACAAACTCAACAGACTATACGTGAATATAGTTGTTCAGCGGTTAGCAGACTGCACTATGAACCTGGTGGTCTTAGTGGATGACTAACATCACCAACACCGCAGTGACCATCGTGGTGAAGTATGGTCAAACAACCTCCGCGACCGGCACACCATGGGGAGGTCCTGATCCACCAGTGGATTGACAAGAGGCTGTGAGTTTAAGTTTAAATACGGCGTGTAATGATACAGAACAAAAGCGCTCCCACGGTAGAGCAAGTTTCTGATGCCATACATGTCTATTGGTTGCGGTGGAAATTCCACATTACCAAGATGGAAAACCAGTCTATCCATAGTAGCGCTCATTTTAATAGCCCCTAAGGTGACGATGAGCTGAGTTGACCTCAAAAACCAGACTGCGTATGTATACAGCTTTGTACACGCACACACTCGCACACGCTCGCGCACACTCGTACGTGCTTGTCCGTGGCAGTTGCTTGCATTGCGGTGTAGCGTGTCGCTTTTTCAAGTCTGCCGTGGCCTTCGCCTTTGTCGTTGAGGCGCGAGAGACGAGAAGGCCGGACAAGAGTACAGCGTTGTCGCGCGCTTGCCCTCATTGACTCTGGGGGGGGGGGGGGGGGGGGGCGTTGGGACCGTGTCCACAAAGCCACGGCGGAGTGCGTGACCGGCGGTGACCTCGTAAGCGGCACGCACCGCGCCGCGACTCCGTCCCCGATTAATTAATCAACGACTTCGAGCCGAGGGGCTGGGAGTCGTTTTTTAAAAAAAATAAATCTCTTGAAGACAGGTTCCGCCGTACCAACTATTTCTCAATGAAAATCCGTGCATACAAAAAAAAAACCTGAATATGGAATTAATGTGCTCAACTGTGGCCCTGGTAGTTCTTCTTCTGAGCACCCTCTTGTTTCTGTTCGTGTTTTCACCACGGCGTCCGCAGTCCGACCGTCCTCACATGCGCCTCGGTCTCTGCGGGGTGGGAGAAACGTCAGGGCATGGAGAAGCCAGTCGGTGTGTCCGCGCTCGCGCTCGTAGCGGCGCGGTTTGCCAATCCACCGCTGGGCGAGGTGCCTCCCCACGCCGTGCGGGTCTAGGGGCGCGATTTGACCATGCTTCGCCGCGCTGGGCGGTTGAGGGTTTTGCTGAAGGCCGGGGAGTATAGATGCGGAAGCGTAGAAGTGCAGTGCAACAGTGCCCTTTGCTGCGCTGCTCTCTGCTGCTGCTGCTGCTGCAACAACGATGTTTTTTTTTAGGAGTTTGACAGAAACGTTTAGATGGATGGATTCCCGATAGCTCAGCCCTAAATGGTGACAAGCCTCGACCAGTTAATAACCAAGATCCCCCGTAACCCCAAGGCGCTACTGCTGATCTGAGCACCGGCTATGAATATCGCCGTGTAAAATTAACGCCGCTAAAGGCGCATCAAAATATAGTACCCTCCTAAATTTAACTGACATGCTCCTTGTGAACTGCTTCAGTGTACGGAAATAAACACGTCCCAAGTGCTTGGGTGAAGAGTGAGGGACGCTGTCGCTCCGTTTCGTGTTGTCAATGCGCTCCGTGTTTTTGCAAACCAACGCTGAGAGTGAGGGAAAACGCCGCAGAGGGATTCATATGAAACGATTGCTGTACGTGGATGTGTTGATATCGAGCACACACACACACACACATGGCTCTCGCTTCAACGCAAACACATACATCACTTAACATGAAATACAAGCCATTCAATGCACCAATGACGTAGGAATCACAAGCGATGGGATGCACGCATCGTGAGCCTAACAATGGATATTGATTAAGGAATCGATGTATCCTTAACACTCGGGGATTAATTTCAGCTGGATATGTCCGGGTCAGTTACCCAGAGGGTATACATGCACTCGACACTCCACATCCAGTAAACTGGCACACCTCCGATTAGCACGGTTGGCTACGTACGGTGTGAAAGAAATTCAACATACATATGCCGCATCAATTATGGCTGCGTCTACCAATCACGCGCCTACTCCTGCCCACAAGCGACCTGGAAAACGTTCAATGAGAAACGAATCCCCGGTTACACCCTAATTTTGACAGATGCTCGTATTCGGATGCTCATTTGACATCCCGGCTATCCATGCAATGTAGTGAAAGGGTAGAGCACGCACACACAGTCCCACACCAAAAACCGCTAATGCAACAACAACCGCCGGTTCGCCGCTAAAGTGGCGGTAACGTCACCACGTCGCTTGTGCCAGGATAGGTGCACACTCCAGCATACGCAGTGGCTCAGCCGCAGCCGCGGTGTCGAAAACATGCAGAGGAGATATAACGACATCGTTCTGGCCCTTTTTGTTTTGTTTCTGGCCATATTAAATTGGTTTCGTATGTCAACAGGAATTCAACATACTGTAAGTTCCTATTGTTAAAAAAAAAAAAAATTCTTTAAAGCAATTTTCCCGTGGAATCTGGAAGCTGCGGTCGGCGCATGAGAATCTTGTTCTTTGATGATCTTACTCCTCGTGAGGCCCACAGATTGATATCATCCCTCATCCCAAGTCACCCGCAAGTTTACACACGTTTAGCTTAAAATACCTCTGCACGATCATTATTAATAATAATAATGTATACGGATTGTCGCACTGCTTATTGTTGCTATCCGCAGCCATAACTATGCCATTACTGCCATAATTTTTTTTAAGCATGGCATTATTATTTTTCTTTGAATTTGAGCTTTTATTAAATGGCAGTGCTTCGATGCGTAATTATACCTCACCCACATAACTGTCAGATTGTCTCTCTCTCTCTCTCCGTAAACCTGAAACCCAGTCACCATAAACGTCTGGTTCTTCACAGTGAAGGAGACAACTTGTTGCCGTGTTCCCCAGGTTATGACGGACTTCTCTCGCTATATTTTAGGCAACAGTTACAGTAGGTGCTGCGTTGTATAATCCAGTGCGTGTGCGCGCATGTGCTTGGCACAGTGGTTAGTGCGCTACGCTACGAGCCCGGCGAACCGAGTTCGATTCCCGCTGACGACCAACACCAGTGACGATTATCTGATCCGGTTCCTGGGCCTCCCCTAAGTCGACTGAGCCTAAAATTTGTACTTCGTGCGGTGCGTGTTCATCACCACTGGGGAGACAAAGACGGCCAGGCGTGGTGCTGGCCACCCCACCCCATCGTGTGCCGTGCCGGCCTTTAAAGTTGCTACTCACTAACAGCACTTGCGCCAACGGTCTGCTAAGGCTACACGGAGTATCATTGTTTTTGTGACCAGATTTATCTACCTTTATCGACCCGGGGCACACGTTTTGGGGTGCTTATCACCTTCCTGGGCATCTTAAAAGCCGGAGAACATGGTATGACCATATATATATTTTTTACCGAACCTGTTAACGTGTTGCACCGTAGCTGTCATAATTATTCTCTTTCAGGGTGCCCCAGTTTGGTCCCGTGAGCCATTCGGTAGCCCTGCTGCATCTTAATGACCCAGAGCAAAACGTCGATGCCACACATGGGGAAGGAGCAACTCCCTTTAACCTTGTGAGTCGGCTTTCTCAGCCCAATTCATTCCCATCAAGCGGCGCGTAGCCTTCTCTTGAGCTTCGTGCGTAATTCCCCGCGATTACTCAAACTACGTAAGTGGATCGTATTTACAGCAGGAAGACACTGCTGAGGAGCCTTCCAGACGAGGGAAATACGAAGATTTTCTTCGTGCACATGGGCTGGGGAGTAAGCTCCATGGTAAAAGACAAACACCTGATACACATTGAAGACAGTCACTGAAAATGTTTTGTTATTTTCTGCCAATCAATTTATGAAAAGGGTCCAAAGGAATCTCATTTAAACTTTCGGCTTCATATCCATGTTGAACTTCTTTCGCGCCGTACATGGCCAACCGTGCTAATCGGAGGTGCGGGAGAAGGACAACAAACTAAACACTGGAAGCAATTCTAGATAAATGAGTTTTCAATCAAGATTTTAAAGCGCACAGCTCCGGTGGCTTCCTAATATCGGAAGGAAGAGCGTTCCAGACGGCTGCAGAAGCACGCCTGAAAGCGGTGACCGTCCGGGTTAAAAGCACTCGTGTCAATTGGGAACCAACATATGACCCAACTATTAGACACAGCAGAACTTCTCCCAACGGCTGGTCACACAGTCCCAACTCTGGGCTCTCGGGTGACAGCCAGGTAGCTACGCTATGAACCTGACGTGATGTCTGCATGCCCAGTTGGGGCGTTGGTATCAGTGCGTGTGTGGAAGTGAGATGGATTTTGGCATTTGCAGGAGGACTTCGAGGAACGGCGTGGAGAGAGGTCTGCTGCCAACCCCGGGCAGACAATGGATGATCGTTAATATGATGATGAATACACAACGGTTGATGCTTGTGATAATTGAGTCCTTCATCCAGCAGTTGACAACACATGGTCGCTGCAGCTGATGGTTTAAATGAATAAAATAAAATAAAAACATACTTTTAAATGCAAACGTTTTCCCGAATCTTTTTTTTACGAACGGTACAACACAAAATTTCCAAAAATATTCTAAACATTACGCATTTACACGCTCTAAATTGAAATGTCACAAAGACAATTTGTAGCTCTCCCACAAGCAAAAGAGTATTTCTTTGCGAGTAATCACTATATCTATATAAAAAAAGGCGTATAGGTAAAGGTGCAGCCCTGCAATTTCCTGCTCACGCCACTGCTGCCGGAAGGGCCTCCCACTGGAGTGAGCTCTTGAGGCGAGAGTGCTCGCACTTTACCCCACCGCACGCAACCTGCCAATTGACTAACTGCGGCGAACACATGTATGCTGCTGCTTCTGCGTGGACAGAGGCGGCGTGGGGTGGGATGGTTAAAGGAACTCGTGCCATTGTTTCAACTGCCGTGCCTGGGAGATCAAATCGAACCTCTGGACTACTCACGTCTTGATTGCAAGTCCAGTGGCCATCAAACTATCAACTCAAACTTAAAATTTTACCAGGTAAGGCCCCAACTGAGCTACATAGCTCTTTTTCAGAAGTGACCTGGCCATCACATGTGATAGCTTAACGGAGTTGCTTATTGCACGGAAATTTATAGCAGCCAAATTATCTAAATGCGCGTTGTTTCAAAATGTGGAGGGAAAAACCGGAGGACCCGGGCAAAAATCCACGCGACCGTGTGAAGAAAATTCAAACTCCACATATACAGCAGGCATCAGGGTCAGGATCGAACCCACCACCTACCTGTATACCAGGCGAGGTAGTTAACATCTCACCGCGGCAGCATCCCCCGTGTGTTTTGTCCATCTCTTGATGAAACTGTTGATGGATAATTGATTGAAACTACAGTAAACCACGTCCGATGGTGATCGACGAGCGTCTCACCAGAGTGTGTTTCCGTCCAGTTAAGCGCTGAAAGATCGCGAGCTGTTCGTCAGTCATGGGCCGGTCGTTCACCATGGCATTGGTCCATTGAGCTGCAACGACAACGCGGCGATACATTAACGCGTGGCCAAGTCGTGGATGTACCCCCCCTCCGCCCCTGTCCGAGCCACATCCTGTTTACACATTCCACCTACTCGCCGGAAAACACCTCGCCCCCCCCTCCTCCCCAAGTTCCGCTTTCAACATTTTCACATCTTTAATTGTCCTCATTTAGATCAATTAACCGTGCCGGCCAGGCTTACATTGCTTAAACGCACGGCACTGGTTGAGTGTGTGTCGGCGCATCCGTCTGCGCTGTTGAATAGACGCATCGTGCGTGCGGCTGTACATGTATGAAAAAGCGAACCTCTTTGATGAAGCACTAATCTATACAAAGTGTTAAGAAATTAACGATTAATCGAATGAAATCAATTGTAATGGTCACGATACATGGAGTGAATCGCGATAATTTAATTATTTGCAATTTTACAATGTCGTTGTATGTAGTTCGTGTAACTCATGCAGCCACTGGAGGTTCTAATATTGCACCTAATTGTTAACCAAAGAATTCAGTCTGGAATGATCTGGTGACGCAGAATGATGCCTTACTCCCTGCATTGCCAAGGGTTTCTGTCCATCAAATATATACGCATTTACATACACTGCAAACGTTTAAAAACTCAAAAATGTGTCTCCTGTATTGATTTGTACAAACGGATTCAGGCGCACCTTCGAACGCGATCAGAGATCTGCAAACAAACGCAGGCCTCAGTGCACGGAAATAGCCCGTTCACAAAGACAAAGATCCCCCCGTGTAGCCTTAACAAACTGTTGGGCCAAGTGCTGTTGGCGAGCACCTATGTGTGCCGTAAATTTACCCAGGACATTCAAAGTCCTATACAGTATTTTTGCTTATCAGTTCACAATAATAATACTAATAATAATATTTCGATTTAAAGCTTTCGTGACTGCAAGGATTCATCTTCTTTGGTTCTTTCGGTAAAGTCACATTCTACGTGACTTTACCGAAAGAACCAAAGAAAATAAAAATAATAATAATATAACACAATCCACAAACAACACATATGCATGCCGTTCTCCTCCTCTCCCGGTATTGTCATGGTGTGTACCTCAGAGGTGACAACCCGAGGCGAGTGTGCATGCATGTTGAACTTCTTTCGCACAGTACGTAGCCAACCGAGTTAATTGGAGGTGCGGGGGGAAGGACAACACACTGGACACACAACAAAAAGCAGTTGTAAAGAAATTAGTTTTTCGATTTAAAGCTTTCGTGACTGCAAGGATTCATCTTCTTTGGTTCTTTCGGTAAAGTCACGTAGAATGAGAATAAAATAATAAAATAACACAATACAATTCTCAGGTGAAAGGTACAGACCTGTCGGGACGACAAGCTCTGTCGTGAGAATTTAATTGTGTTATTTTATTATTTTATTCTCATTCTACGTGACTTTACCGAAAGAACCAAAGAAAATTAGTTTTTGTTCAACCTAGATTTAAAAGTGCAGTGGTTTCCGAATATCCGGGAGGAAGAGCGTTCCAGCGCATCCGAAAGGGCGCGATGCGACCGACCGCCTTTGTTCGGTGGCGAGCCAAAACGCGCTGCGGGAGCGTGGACGGTGGGGGTGGAGAAGCGGGGACGACTCTTACCCCCGGGCAGGATGACCCCGTCGATGGCGTGAATCACTCCGTTCACACCCAGGATGTCGGCCTGCACCATCTTCTTGTTGTTGACGTAGGTGGTGCCATTCCTCTGCGTTGGCAGTCAGTGGAACAAGACAAAAAAGCACAAGCGTCTGATATGCCGGACCGAGCACACGCGCGGTCCCGTTTGCAACCTCCACTGCTGGATGAGGGCTCCGGTGGCCGGTGAGCGATGTGCTGCGGCGCGTAGGGGAATTCATAGATTTTTGTTTAAAGGGAGCTAATTGATATTTATTGTTTTTTGATGTTCATTGCATTGCCTAGGAATTGGTGTGTCCATCCATCTGGTGTGTCCATCCATCTGTTGGACCGGATGACGCCTTTTGGCGTCATCCGGTCCAACACCAGTGGAGGCTAGGCTCTAAAGAAAGCCGTCTCGGGTGTGGACCAATCAAATTCAAGGACAGTGCATATTATTATCAGAGTTGTCTCTTTTGTTTGCATTTTGACTGCTTGTGTTGTGGTTATTGCAAACATGATGCCTTGATTAAAGGTGTCAGTTTTTGTGCCAGTTAAAAGGGTAAAACCTATTACTATATCTTTTTACTGGCAAAGGAGGTCTCATAATGTAAACTCTTTTCTACATGATCTATCCCAAAAGAAACGCATTATGAATCATTGAACGATTTGGTTCATCATTCATAACAACAATATTCCAATTTTCGTGACAAGTTATTCCGGCAATACCTCATAGCGTGGTCAAACAAAAACTCCAAATACAATTGTAATGAATCAGCCTCCAAAAAAACACGTGTTTAAACGTAGCTATACCAAAAGCTTCAATTTCATGTCTCCTCAGAAACGTGTTGCCTCATGAACCAATGCCACTTGGAAAACCGCGGCCTGGTTTGCACATCACTGAGTCGTCAGCGAGGAGCCCGCTACTAATAATATATAATCAGTCAAGCTTCCCAGTAGCATTTGGTTGTTTAAATAAATCTCACAAATACTACTGGGAAACATTAATCTTGAGGCCATGGGGACTGATAAATCACACGTTGTTAAAACAATACATCTAAAAAGGAGCCGCTCAATGACACAAGCAGCTAGACCCAAAGTTACGTTGGTGATTGGTGACGGTGGTTGTGGTGAGTAGTGAAAGTGGTTGTGGTGAGGGGAGACGGTGGTTGTGGTGAGGGGAGAGGGTGGTTGTGGTGAGGGGTGACGGTGGTTGTGGTGAGGGGTGGCGGTGGTTGTGGTGAGGGGAGACGGTGGTTGTGGTGAGGGGTGGCGGTGGTTGTGGTGAGGGGAGACGGTGGTTGTGGTGAGTGGTGACGGTGGTTGTGGTGAGTAGTGAAAGTGGTTGTGGTGAGTAGTGAAAGTGATTGTGGTGAGTGGTGACGGTGGTTGTGGTGGTTGGTGACGGTGGTTGTGGTGAGTGGTGACGGTGGTTGTGGTGAGGGGTGGCGGTGGTTGTGGTGAGGGGAGACGGTGGTTGTGGTGAGGGGTGGCGGTGGTTGTGGTGAGTAGTGAAAGTGGTTGTGGTGAGTAGTGAAAGTGGTTGTGGTGAGTGGTGACGGTGGTTGTGGTGGTTGGTGACGGTGGTTGTGGTGAGTGGTGACGGTGGTTGTGGTGACGGTGGTTGTGGTGAGTGGTGACGGTGGTTGTGGTGAGTGGTGACGGTGGTTGTGGTGATTGGTGACGGTGGTTGTGGTGAGTAGTGAAAATGGTTGTGGTGAGTAGTGAAAGTGGTTGCGGTGAGTAGTGAAAGTGGTTGTGGTGATTGGTGACGGTGGTTGTGGTGATTGGTGACGGTGGTTGTGGTGAGTGGTGACGGTGGTTGTGGTGAGTGGTGACGGTGGTTGCGGTGAGTGGTGACGGTGGTTGTGGTGAGTGGTGACGGTGGTTGTGGTGAGTGGTGACGGTGGTTGTGGTGAGTGGTGACGGTGGTTGTGGTGAGTGGTGACGGTGGTTGTGGTGAGTAGTGAAAGTGGTTGTGGTGAGTGGTGACGGTGGTTGTGGTGAGTAGTGAAAGTGGTTGTGGTGAGGGGAGACGGTGGTTGTGGTGATTGGTGACGGTGGTTGCGGTGAGTGGTGACGGTGGTTGTGGTGATTGGTGACGGTGGTTGTGGTGATTGGTGACGGTGGTTGTGGTGATTGGTGACGGTGGTTGTGGTGATTGGTGACGGTGGTTGCGGTGAGTGGTGGACGGTGGTTGCGGTGAGTGGTGGCGGTGGTTGCGGTGAGGGGAGAGCCGCCGTACCACGATGACGTCGAGGCGCGTGCCCTGCGCCGTCTTCACGAGGTTACTGCCCACGGGGACGATGCCCCCGCTCACGAGGATGCCCTGGCTGATGTGCCCATTGATCAGAGCGGCCAGCTCCTTGCGGTTCCCTGCGGGCGACGGAGAGATGCTCGACTCCAGCAGCCGTTGCCACCGCGGCCGCGGTGGCTCACACAGGACCACCGAGGCAGGCCTGGGGAACATTCTTCTCCTGATCGATTGGCCGAATTGGTGGAACTTTGGGCGAGACACAGCGACTCAGTGTCACCGCGCAAAGCCCTTGCAGAGTCGCAGAAGCGACTGAGAAATGGTAGCCCAATGAAGTGGCTTTTCACGTGGAAAAATTTTCGCAGCCAAATATTACAAACGCAATGTGGTTTTTTTTTTACATGTGGAGGGGAAAAAGCAGAGGACCCGGGAAAAACAAATGTACGCGGCCACGGAGATGAACATGGAAACTCGAAATGTACAGTCATTGTTAGTGGATCGGGATCGGGATCGAACCCAGAACCTCCTGCATAGCAGGCGAAGCATTGAACATCTCGCCACCGCGTCACCCCATTTAACCATTACACACGAAGGGCAGCATCCCAAGTTGGGGAAAAAAGCGACGTAATTAAAGTGTGCTGATGTGCTGGGGGGGGGGGGGGTGGGCGCTGTGAGTGGGGGGCCGGGGGGCAAAACGAAGAGCGGCGCTCAGAGGAAGGGCAACGCACGCTTCAGTTTGCTGAGCTCGGCTGGCCCCAGCGATTTAAAGGCCTCGTTCGTGGGTGCAAACAGCGTCATCTCGCCCTGGCGCCCGAACTTCTGTGCCATTCCAGCCACGTTCACCAGGGACAGCAGCGTGCTGCACACCAAAGACAAAGATCAGCCGTGTCGCCTCAACTGACTGTTGGGGCAAGTGCGGTTAGCGAGCGCCTACGGTTGGCCGGCGCGGCACACGACGAGGGGGTGGGTGGCCAGCACCACACCCGACCGCCTTTGTCTCCACAGTGACGATGTTTACACACTGCACCAAGTACTCATTTGAGGCTAAATCGACCTAGGGGAGGCCCAGGACCGGTTCAAAAAATCATCACCGGTGTTGGCCGCGAGCGGGATTCGAACTCGGTTTCCCCGGGGTTCGTAGCGCACCGCGCTTACCGCTACCGCTGCACACCACACGCGCACTCCACACGCGCACACCACGCGCGCACACCACGCGCGCACACCACACGCGCACACCACACGCGCACACCACACACGCACACCACATGTGCACACCACACGCGCACTCCACACGCGCACACCACACACGCACTCCACACGCGCACACCACACGCGCACACCACACACGCACACCACATGTGCACACCACACGCGCACACCACACGCGCACTCCACACGCGCACACCACACGCGCACTCCACACGCGCACTCCACACGCGCACACCACACACGCACACCACATGTGCACACCACACGCGCACACCACACGCGCACTCCACACGCGCACACCACACGCGCACTCCACACGCGCACACCACACGCGCACACCACACGCGCACACCACGCGCGCACACCACGCGCGCACACCACGCGCGCACACCACGCGCGCACACCACGCGCGCACACCACACGCGCACACCACGCGCGCACACCACGCGCGCACACCACGTGCGCACACCACGCGCGCACACCACACGCGCACACCACACGCGCACACCACGCGCGCACACCACACACAGGGGGGCACACGGGGAGACGATGGAGGGTGGGCGGTGGAGGAGGAGGAGGAGGGATGGAGGAGACGAAGAGGAGGGAAGGGGCGGGTAGGCGCAGGAGCGGGGTGAGAAAGGTGAAGCTCGCACTGGGTTGAACAGAGGTCCATGTGTTAAAACAAATGAATGCAATCCACTCAGCGACGCCGAGTAAGGGAATTTTAAACAACGACCGAGGGAGAGGGGAGGCGGGGTGGGTGGGGGGGTGCAAATAAAGCGTCTGGTTTCGTTTCGGTAGGCTTTCGTATTTCTCCAACACGTGTTTGTTTTAAATATCCTCCTATATTTACCTTGAGTGAAGGATTTTTTTTTTCTTTCTACAGGACCATAATTAATCAAAAAGGCATGTGGAGAGATGAGTATGAATGGCGTTTTGTGTGTGTGTGCGTTGATATCAGAGGGGGAGAGGCAGTGTAGTCGTTTGCGCACTGCACTTCGGACGTTGCTCACGGCTAACACCAGTGGTGAATATCTGAAAAAAAAGGTTGTGGACCTCCTCTGGGTCAACTTAGCCTCAAATAAATAAAATTCTCAGACTGTTGGGGACAAGTGCTGTTAGCGAGCACCTACGATGGCACCATGCCTGGTCACCTCTGTCACCCCAGCGCCGGTGCTTACGTACCATACCAGGTACTTATTTAAGGCTGAGTCGACCTAGGGAAGGCACACGACTGGTTCAAATGTCCGCCACTGCTCTTGGTCATGAGCGGGTATCGAACTCGGGTCACCGGGTTGGTAGCGCAGTGCGCTAACCGCTTTGCCACCGCTCCTCGTTACTATGGCTTTAACAGACGTTTGGGGCGAGTGCTGTTGACGAGTACCTGCACGCGACCATCCGCAAAGACAGACGGGGGGCAGGGGGGGTGGTGGGAACGTTGCTTGCTTTATTTACAACTTGTGGCCACCCATCTAGATGCTGAGCCTTGCCAATCACAACAACGGGGCTAGAGGTGACAACGTCAATTCCTGTCAACAGGTTGGGTTGAAGCTCGTGTACGTGTGGGAGGGAGGGAGGGATGGAGGGAGGAGATGTGGAACGTCTTAGGAATAGAACTGTGGCTTAGTGGTCGGTCATTGTGCGTGAGGTAGCGTCGCTTATACAGAACACCTGGTTGACTTCATTGGGGAATCTGAACGTTAATGCTTTTTTGTTGTTTTAATCCACTGTTTAAAGAAAAGCTTCAGGCGCCTGAGATGACGCAGCTGGTCATGAGGTTGCGTGCTCGCGGTGTTGGCGGACTACGGCGCTACGCCGGCGGCAGTCCGCGCAGGGGCATTGCAGAGACAGATCTGTTCGTTGTATTGTAATTCTGTTGCCCCCCGCATGTTCGCTCACTGCCGTCACCACTGACCGGCGTGGCGAAGTACAAGCAAATTAACCCTCCAAACTTCCTCCAATCATCCAACAGTAGACCGAGCAAGGTGGATTTTAGAAAGGTTTTTCTACCATTGACCTCCGTACAGCCTTAAAATCAGAGCCTAGAAAGAGCAAATGAGCATCAAGTAAGGCTATTATCCGAGCTCTCTCAACAACCAAGGGATTCGTAAGCAATATAGAGATATGATAAAAAAAACATTTACAAGGAAGGAACTGGTACATACACACGCATTGGAATTATTTATAACCAGGTAAGACACCACGAAGACAAAGGAGACCTGGGGTACGAACAGAGTTGTAAATTCAACAAAGAATACATCAGCAAAATGAACATTGAAAATGAAGGTTACTTTAAAAACACATTAACCATGAATAAAAATGTTCAAAAAATAATTATCATTACCACGTAGTTTTGTAAATCAAAAACGATCCCTTGCAATGAAGACCTGTCAACATATAACGTAGGAAAACTCGTTATAATGTTCTTGCCAATTTACAAATTGTTTTTTTTGTGGTATGAACCTCGCACGCAATGGTCGGCTCTAGTGAAAGATGCCACAGGGATCTTCAATGTTGATTTATTTTTTTCGGCAGACAGAATTCAAACGAAGTAATGCACGAACGAGACAAATCGCGGACGGGAACAGACACGAAGGCTCCAAGACTCCAAGGCATCGTTGCTTGGATTAAGGCAATCATAGCTTCCTTCAAAACAGGTTTAGCGGTTCATGAACCACAAGGTCCTTTCATCTCTGGATGGCAGACGTGTGAAGCCTTGATATTACTGGATATCTGTACGCGTTGGTATACGGCGGCGGGACGTTAATTATTATCATTATATTTACAGAGAAAACATCAATCGTAGTCTCGTCTTCATGGCTGATGGTAGGTAATAATTATACCTTACAAAGAGCGTTTAGACTTTCAAACTGTTGGCCAACTCTCAGCCCGGATTGCAAATGATTATTCGACGTAGCATTGCCGAGCAATTTAAAATCTACGTTTCAGCGGACAGCTGTTTTTAAAACCGCAGTGAGAATCAACACCACTGGCGTGCGTGCGCACGAGAGAGACAGAGAATGGCGCAGTTAGGGGTCCCCCTTAACGTAGCTAGGGGTCCCCCTTAACGTAGCTAGAGGTCCCCCTGAACGTAGCTAGGAGTCCCCCTTAATGTAGCTAGGGGCCCCCCTTACCGTAGCTAGGGGTCCCCCTTACCGTAGCTCGGGGTCCCCCTGAACGTAGCTAAGGGTCCCCCTTAATGTAGCTGGGGGTCCCCCTTAATGTAGCTGGGGGTCCCCCTTAATGCAGCTAGGGGTCCCCCTTACCGTAGCTAGGGGTCCCCCTTACCGTAGCTAGGGGTCCCCCTGAACGTAGCTAGGGGTCCCCCTGACCGTAGCTCGGGGTCCCCCTTACCGTAGCTAGGGGTCCCCCTTAATGTAACTAGAGGTCCCCCTGACCGTAGCTAGGGGTCCCCCTTACCGTAGCTAGGGGTCCCCCTTACCGTAGCTAGGGGTCTCCCTTGACGCCCGCCAGCGGGGCGACGCAGGACACGGGGCGGACTCACCTGAAGCGAGCGTCGTTGCGGAGGAGCTCCATGACGGTGCTGGTGGCCGGCTTGATGACCTTGTCGAGCACGAAGAGCGCGCCCGTGTTGGTGGACTTGTCGCGCACGTTCACGCACGACGTCTCGATGCAGATCGCCTGCGCGGGGGGAGCAGCGGCGGGGCGGGGAGGGAGAACGCGACGGTCGGATCATCCTCGACACGTGCCCCATCCCGCCCGATCTCGGCTTTGGCAGGGGCCGAGGTTGGATAGTGCTCGTATGGGCTGGCCACCACGCATGGATCGGGTGCTGTAGGCATCGGCAGAGGGCACTGCAGAATAATCCACTGTCGTCGTACTGTACTATTGCGCTCGCCGCCTTCACCAATGGGCACTGACCGCGCGCGGCGAAGCGCGAGTCTTGAGCCTGGGCCAGGGGGAGACGCTCCAGTGTGATGGGAAGCGAATGAGAAAGTTACCGTCCACTGCAATGGCGACTTGACGTGTCCTCTGGGGGTTCACACCAGGTCGAATCCTTCCCTTGGGGAACTTCTCCGATTACTGCCGACAATCATTTTCTGCTGCGTGCGTGTACGTTGAATTTCTTTCGCACTGCGCGTAGCCAACCGTGCTAATTGGGACGCGTCCCTCCTCCGTTTATTGCGCGCTGGGGAGGCGACCGGCGGCGTTCTCGGCGTTCCCGCCGCGGTCGGCACGGGGGGGCTCGCTGCGAGCCGACACGGCAGGGAGAGCGAGACGCACGGCACTTACCCGGTGGTAGAGGAAGACGCGCAGCTGCTGCCCACCCAGCGTCTCGAGTTTCTGGCCGTGATACAGCTGATTGGAGAGGTGGCGGCCACGGATCACGTGATTGAGCAGCATCTTCCTCGTGCTGTCCGACGACGTCGAAATCGTGGAATCTGCCGGACGGGGGGACGCCCGAAACGTTTCACGGCGACGTCCGTCGCGAAGGGCCAAAACGGACGGTCGTTCGTGCGCGCGACCGTTCTCACGTTCGCTGCTTTGGCCCCGGTGGCTCAGCGGCAGGGCAAGCGACTCGAAGTCGGAAGGCTGCGAGTTCACATTCGGGCTGGGGGGGGTCATTGCCCCCTGGCATCATTAAAACGAGGAGCACTTTTTGGAGGTGAGCCGACAGTGGTTGTTCCTACGGATAAAGTCGTCCCCCCGGCGGAGGAACAAGAAACGTTCGCCGCTGGCTCGGGGCCGTAAGCAGGAAACGAGCACCGCCTCAAATGCCCACACGGGCAGGGAAATCGATTTGACTTTTGAGAGAGCTTTGGCAAGGGGCACCCGGCGATAACAACAAACGACGGCAATCGACATCGATGGTGTGAAACGGAGAAGCCCCCCCCCCCACCCCCCCACCCTTGCTGGGAGCAGTCCCTACCTTCCATGGCGCTGTCCTTGGGCGCCAGGATCGTGTACTCCTCTCCCACCTTCAGGCTGGACTTGAGGCCGGCCTCCGCGAACACGTCCATGAAGGTCTCCACGCCGTACTTCTCGGCGACGTCGAACACGTCCTTGGCTGCGGGAGGACGAGGGGTCGGGGTTCTGGGTTGGCTCCGGCGATGGTGGGCGGGGGGGGGGAGGGCGGTGGCGTTTAAACGACTACGCGGCGTCTCCTGAGGCCGCGCGATCAAAGTCTCGCGCTCTGGAGTCCACGATTTCCAGGGCTTTTTTTTTGCGTTGTTCGATTTGATGTCAGTCGCGCGCGAACTGTTCCAATCCGTGAGCGACGGGGAAAACCCATTTATACAGAGAAAATATAGTCCGAGTGAGGACGAGTTGAAGATTTTTCTTTTTTTAGCCAGGAGAGAATTCAAAGAGACCAGTGTCAGTCTCATTTGCAAGGGTGACCTGGGAAAGATGGAACCGGTCTCTGGTCGTTCCTCTGTCTCACTGATGCCTCTCGGTTGTCCACATTTTCTCAACGTTTTGGACGGTGGGCTAAGACAAATTGACGGAATGCAGTTATTCTGCCACACTCTGAGTCTGAAGTTTCCTACATTTGGATGTTTGGTCAATATCATTACCAGTTACATTGAATGTGTTTTAGGTATGGCAGGATGAAACCCATGCCAAACAAGATGGGGAAAACATACAAACTCCATTGAGAGAGAGGCACGCGTGTTACCACTGGGCCACTCTGCCGTCCAAAGTGCCATCTATTATGAACTCGATGGCAATTACGAAGAGTCTGAGCTGCGTGGTTGACATGCTGGCCGAGACGTTCGTTATACGTTTGGGTTTTTTTACCGAAAGTCTTTTCAATGATTCACAGGAGCACAGGAGAAGAATTTAGAAACAATCATAGCTTAAACTAAACTATTTTACCAGGTAAGGCCCACTGAGCTAAATAGCTCTTTTTCAGAAGCGACCTTTCCACAAATGGTAGCTCAACAGAGTGGCTTATTACGTGGAAATTTAAGGCGGCCAAATACTATAAACGCGTGATGTTGATTCTAAATGTGGAGGGAAAAACCGGAGAACCTGGAGAAAAATCCACACGTCTGCGGGCAAAACTGGTGGACACGTGGAAGTTTAGACGGATTAGACTCAGATGTGGAACGCTCTGTCCATAGAACTCCGCCTGACCTCTGAGATTCTCCCGTTCAGAAACGAATAAATAAACACATTTAGTAAGATATCTCAACTTGCTTTGGAGAAATTGGGTAGTTGTTTTTTTATGGTGCAGGTGTCATTGATGTGTGTTGAGCATTTGTAAGAAGATACCATTTATATGCTCTGTCACTGCTATATTATTATGTGTTTCTGTGACTTTTACTGAACATTATTTTATTATACTGTACAGTGCTGTAGAACCTCTGTGTGGTTTGTTGCGCTTTAGAAATCTTTAAAATAATTAAATCTTGTGAAATATCTACACCGTAAAGTGCGCGTGTAATGTATTTAGCTCGATCAGAGAAACTAAAAACTGATGTCGAATTTTAATGATTTAAAAGCGGATGACACCTTTATGGACACGCTGTACTAAGAACGTATCACAGCAGCACAGTGTATTACGCAGGTGTGTGCGAGTGATGTAGTATGACTGATGGGAATAATAAAACCCCATATCCCTCTTCGGGGCTGGAGCAACAGAAATATCTGCTCGAGGTGTTACGCTCAGGAGGGCCCAAATAAGGGCTAACGACTCGTCAGAATTGACTTCACGTGCAGGGGGTGAAATGCAAGGGAGATCGTCTGAGGTCATTTCCCAAACGTCAAACGTCCAGGCGTGCGGCCAATTTGGTCCGTCGTAAAACACAGGCGACCGTTCGCGTTTATTTTTTATTTTTTATGCCGAGGCCAAACTCGAACACCGTGAGGTGAAGTCGACAACCGAGGGCATGAACCGCCCACGTGCCGAGGCGTTTCAAGAGTGTGAATTATACTCAGCAGCGATACCCACATTTACGCCTCGCCCCTTCCTTTTACGTCGTAAAATTCATCATGGACACCGCCACCCTATGTGCGGCGCTTCAACCCCCGGGCCTACGTCGCTCACGGCATCATCTCTCCTTTCTCGTTTATCTGCTGCCTCGCAGCCGTCACCCCCACCACCGACTACCCCTGTACGCGAACCACTTTGCGTTGCGCGCAAGGAAATGTATCGTGCCGTAGAGTGCAATATATTATTGATGTACGGTATTTTGGTGATTTGGAAAAATTGCTTTGATTGACGTCGTCTCAATATTTCGTTGTCGCATCTTTCATGGAACGCATCCCTGACGTAAAGTGGGGTATTACTGTGTATGATTTTTCAACAGTAATAAACCACCTCTCAATCTTTGTTTTTTTTTGTTCGGTAAAGTCACGTAGAAATAAGAAAAATCAAAATAAAATTACATAATATACGACGTTTCGATGGCAACACAAGCAATCATCATCAGGTAGAGGAAACACATAACCGCAGATAATATACAGGCCTTAAGTAGAGGGAATTTTTTCTACGTGACTTTACCAAAAAAAACAAAGATTAATTCCTGCAGTCACGAAAGCATCAAATCTAGTTTAAACCACCTCTCGTTAAGAGACTGCGTGGTTTACAACACTGCGGTCTTAAAGGAAAGAATAGGAGGCACCGCAGAGGTGAGATGTTAATTATCTCGCCTGATACACAGGAGGGCGTGGGTTCGATCCCCACCCTGACTCCTATATATTTGGAGTTTGCATGTTTTCCCGGTGGTTGCATGGATTTCTCTCTGGGTCCTCGGGTTTTCCCTCCATATGCATAAACACGCGATTAGAGTATTTGGCTGCTATGGATGTCCACGTGACGATAAGCCACTTCCTTGAGCTATCATTTGCGGCCAGGTCGCTTCTGAAAAAGAGCTACGTAGCTCAGTGGGCCTTACCTGGTAAAATAAAATGAGTTTAGTTTATAGAAATAATAGGTGAGACTTCAGGCAATGACCCCTCCTTCAGAACACGTAAAATGCGTACATATTACACACATTTTCTTTCAAGGCCACATTGTTCCTGATGAATGTGTTAATTTTGTCGTTGTTGTTATTTGTGCTTGTGCATCGTGGCCAAAGCGGCAGTAGCATCGCAAAAAATTTGCAAGGTTCATGTCGACGGATGTGTACGTACTGTGTGCATGTGGGTCTACACATTTGGTACAATGCTTTGTTTACACTCACACGGCAGGGCAGCAGTGAGTGTGCAGTAGAAACAACAGTTGGAATTCCACACAGCCCCATCATAGCATTCAAGGAATGCAGTACACTACACCTGGACATGCCTCTTGCATTTGATCTTCTGAAGGCACATTCAAGTTCTGTCTTTCACACTCTGCACAAGGGTACGCCAAGAAGCACGCTATTCACCGCACAATCTGTCATCACCCAGCACTCAACCTCACCCGCTCTCTCCAGTATATATATAAAAGATTCAATGTCATCATCATCAGCAACAGCAGTCATATTCTATCAACTACGGAATGGAGGTGTGCCGAGGACGTGGCCATTCCTCGCGGTCCTGCGATTCCACAAATTAATTAATTTCGTTCCTGTGCGCGATCTGAATTCATCGCTCCAACTGGCACAGTGGCCGTCCTCTCTTGTGTGCTGTCTCCTTTGACTGCCAGTCCGTTTACCAGTCTCGTCCGTCCGTTAACATCCCTTCTGGCGATTGTGTTTCGTGAGGAAGGCCAGGAAACTATTCGGTCTACCACAAAGACGGAGCAACGGGATGACCGATGCACGCCGCAGGAGCGAGGTGCATCGTTGCGTCGCGAGACTGTGACCGATGGCGACAGATTGGGCAGGCCTTTTGTCAAGCGGCGGATAGATCGTGTCTCATTCCCGACGACGATAACGATCATTACACTCGATCAATCTGTTCTTCATTGCACATAAATATACATATGTCGCGGAGCTTTTTTGCAGTTGTAGGCTGTGTTTGTTCTTAATCCGCGTTGAGCGAAAACAAGCGTCGGACATCGCGACGAGCGACGTGCGGTTCAACCCGAGGACACATCGGAGGGCCTTTGCGTATTTATTTAAGTAATGTATATTAATTACAATTATCAATCACGTATTTTAATTTATTTGGCGATGCTGCTGCCGCCGGCAGTGGTGCAGAAGCACGTTGAGCAAAAAAACCGAGGCAATTCGACGCACTCGTCAATGACACCGTTGTGGCCTTAGAAAACTAACGAATCTATAAATGCAATCGGCGACGTCCCGGGCTGAATCGGTCCCGGCTCTGTTCATTGTTGCTCCCTCCGAAGCCCCGTGCCACCGGCGACTGCGGAGTTCGCGGTGCCGAGGCTGTTTTTCACCTGTGTCGGGCAGCAGCAGGTCGTCGATGAGGTGGATGACCCCGTTGGTGGTGACGATGTCCTTCCGGATCACGTTCACCTTCCCATTCAGGGTGATGTCGTCGCCGTTGCAGGTGACCTGCAGCTTCGTCCCCTCGGCCGTCTCCACGGCGGTGGTGCCCAGGATGGACTCGGAGCATTGCAGGGACGAAATGAGGTGGTTGTTCACCATGGCTGTCGGGACAGGAGCGGTTGGTTATTAGGTAGGAAATAATGAACATCGTCGTTATCGTGAGACATTTTATGTCCACTGCTAGATGAGTGAGCATTGTAAACCCTGCCTGTGTAGAGGCACGGGGTAGGAGGTATGTAATGATTCGTCCCACTGGCGACGGACGCTATACATTCTCATACCTGTCCACCCACACGGTTTACCCGTATTCTTGTACAGGGAAATTGAGTGTTCTGGTCCATACGACGTACAGTCGTTTCAATACGGGCCAAAACGTATTTGTTGTCTATTTGTTTGTGTTTCTCTCCTTTGTGATGGGACTTTGTAGGATGAACGTTGAGATTTATAAGGGGCACGGGGTGACCAATAAGGTCTGAATTGGTCTGTGATAAAGCAGGCACTGAGGTATGTTGTTGTGAGTGTACTAGTAGAGAGTGTAGTTGTGGTGATTGTCTATTTGTTGGTGTTTCTCCCTTGTGATGGGACTTTGTAGGATGAACGTTGAGATTTATAAGGGGCACGGGGTGACCAATAAGGTCTGAATTGGTCTGTGATAAGGTAGGGCACTGATAAGGGGGTTGCCAGATATGCATTCTCACAATTTAAAATTTACGATTCGATTGGCGAATCCGCTCCTTTTGGTCTCATTTTAACCGCCTAACATCTAGTGGCCATCTCGTTTGCTGTATGCACGTTTGTTGAACTTCTTTCGCATCGTACGTAGCCAAACCGTGCTCATCGGAGGCGCGCGTCGATGCCTCTTTGGTTGATCGCATTCAATGCCAGAATTGCGCGCGGTTTTTCGCGCGGCCTCTAAAAAAAAACATTCTCGGACGCGGCAATCGACGCATTTACAATGCGCTCAACGATCGACGCTCGTCGACAAATTTGACACCGCGCGCCTTCTACGCAGCAAAGCAACGCACAACTGACGGCTTTTGAACACACCGCGTGCTCTCCAGGCGGCAAAACTTAGCGACGCGGGTACAATCTGAGATTGGGGCGGGCGGAGAGGGTGGGAGGGGGGGGCCCACATAGGGAACGACGCTGCAGTCGCCTGTGATTATTGCGCAGCCCATCAACCCGCACCACAACGGGGAAACCCCTTTTTAACCACCCCCCCCCCTCCACCTCCCACCCGGGAGGTAATTACCCCGATGCGTTGATCGCTGGATGTGACACGCGCTGGCTTAGTACGCGACACGGTTATTAGCTTCCCGAATGGTACCGGTCATCTCATGCTAGGTTGTTAGATTTTCTCAACCCCCCTCCCTTCTCGGCTCACCCTGCGGCCCACCCCATAATCGTTAGTGCCAGGAGCTAAGCGTTACGGGAGCCCTGCTGCCTCAAGTGGTTTTATTTCATTCGTTTGCGTTTCTTCGGCAATAACGACCCACAATTATGCGCTAAGTGTGGTGCGTGCGTGCGCGCGCATGCATTGCACGCCACGAGATGACCGCGCGTGCGAAACGGCATTTAATTTTGTTCCCGGGGGAGGACAAAAAAAGAAATCGAGACCAGCATTAAAAATATGAATTGCACTCAATTCGAACACCTGTTTGGCTGAAACGTCCCTCCACGTGACGATGTGCACGTGGTGACAATCGGCCGTGGGACATACCAAGTACCGCGATTTCTGAAAGGGTATTTTTTTTGTGCTCGCCTCCAGAATGTAAAGTCGATGTCCAACCGAGGGAACATTCAAATACAACGTTTGGGCCAGATTTGTCGCGCAGGAGTGTTCCATTTAGCACACGAGGGTGAAGTTGAAAACGTAATTTCACCTCCTCCTTTCTGGAACGACACAGCCACCCCTCGCCCCTGCCCCACTGCTAATTGAATTACCCTTGAGTGCCGGAGGATCTGCCAGGATTCTGTTGAGCGTTCCCTTGGGGATTTTTTTAAACGCCTCATTGCTGGGCACGAAGAGAGTGATGGGCCCCTCCGAGTTGAGCAATGGCATCAGTCCGGAGGCCTCCACTGCCGCCTGCGGACACCACGAAGAGACAGAACCGCAGAGCTGAGACGCGAATTGGCGTTCATGGCCGTAGCTGCGTCAGCTACAGAGGACACGGTCAATATATTAATGTTGTCATTCACAAAAATTGTTTACAAAAGCTTGTTTTTTTAGATGGACTTCCAGTGATGTAACATAATCCCCTTATCCCAGGCCCGGCTCCAGCCATCAATCCTGTTATCTCCCTGCTCCTGTTCACGTCTGGGTTGAAGGACTTCCCCTTTCTCCCAGGCCCGGCTCCTCTTGGATGTGAACCATCGTCAAAAGTGGTTTAACTGCCAAGGCGAGTGAACTTGGCTGGACCCTTTCTCCTCCGCTTACGATATGAACTGCCTCCTTCTGCAGAGATGCGGTCACATCTAAAATTCACAATGAATCCAATTTTGTCTTGCATTTGTATGCTCGACTCACATCACGGACGTGCAAAGACAAAGATCCGCCCCCCCCCCCCCCCGTATAGCCTCAACTGACTGTTGGGGTCAGTGCTGTTAGCGAGCACCTACGAAGGCTGGCACGGCGCACAAGTTGGTGGTCAACACCACGCCCGGCCGCCTTTGTGTCCCCAGCGGCGACAGTTTACACACCGCACCAGGTACTTATTTTAAGGCTGAGTCGACCTAGGCGGGGGGGGGGGGGAGGGTGGCTAGGAGGCCCAGGATCGGTTCAGGTAACCCTCATTGGTGTTGGCCGTGGGAGGGAAATGGAACTCGTGTCTCCGCTGGGTTCGGAGCGCAGCGGCACTCACCGCTGCCACACGCACTTGGCAGGCGTGCACGCGCAGTCACACCGGCGCGGTGAATGCCAAACACCACGCCATTCGCAACGAAGTGACGGTGAAGTGACGGTGACGTCACAATGGTGCCAGGCCAGGTGCACTTTGAGGCCGCGTGAAGTGTCGAAGGCTCGCTTGGCAGGAGGTCTTCGGGACAGACCCAGCGGGTTGCCATGGGTTGGCTGACTGAGATGACCGGCAGACGCACCAAGCTGTTACCCGCCCCTACTGTGCCAACATGACGCATTGAGTTTTTATCCGCCGTGCGCTCCGCTCGTCGTTGTGAGCGTCGCTCCTCTAAAGCCCTCCATTGTTGTTGCTGGAGGGCGATTGCCTCCAACTGCCCAGCAGCAGCAGCAGCAGCGTCCTTCAGGAGCCTCCTCCAGACACGCGCGTGTGGGGTCCTCCATAAATGACGTCACGAGATTTTGGACGATTTTTGATCGCCCCTCCCCCCTCGTCACACGGCGTCACAAAAAGTCAGACCCCCCCCCCTCAAATATGACGTCACAAAGCTCTGCCCCCCCCCCAAAAAAAGAAAAAAAAACATGCTTCAAATCGCTTTAAACTATTGTCATTGTAGTGCGTATTTAATGTGGCGCTGCACTCTGATGTTGTAGGAGAAAACATTTATATAAAAAGTCTATTTAATGAAGTAGAACGTGTTTTCTATATTTATTTAAAGTTGCGCATTTTGATGTGACGTCACATTTCTCAACCCCCCCCCCCTCCCCTCGTCACACATCGTCACAAATGTCTGACCACCCCACCCCCCCCCCAGGTGCGCGACGTCATTTATGGCCGGCCCCCTGTCCACACACCCGCATCGACTCCATGTCCTCGTCGTAGCTGATGACATCGCCGATCTGGTTTGACACGGGCACGACGACGCGGTCGATCACGTGCACCACGCCGTTGGTCGCCAGGTGGTTGGGGCGGATGAGACGGGCGCAGTTCATGGTGATGATCTGCGAACGACAGCGGGAGAGACGCTCTCGTTTCCTGGGTGGCGGCGGTGGTGGCGTCTCGTTGCCGTGACTCCGAGAGAGCACTCCGGGAGGGGGGGGGGGGGTGGTGAAGCCGGCGTTAGGAGCAGAGAGGAGGAGGGGTCCCCATTAGACACCATCCCATTAGACACCATCCCGTTAGACACCATCCCATTAGACACCATCCCATTAGACACCATCACCATCCCATTAGACACCATCCCATTAGACACCATCCTGTTAGACACCATCCCATTAGACACCATCCCATTAGACACCATCACCATCCCATTAGACACCATCCCATTAGACACCATCCCGTTAGACACCATCCCATTAGACACCATCCCATTAGACACCATCCCATTAGACACCATCCCATTAGACACCATCCCATTAGACACCATCCCGTTAGACACCATCAAATCAGACATCATCCCAATTATTCATAGCATAGTGTGCACGACTCACCACAAACTAACCACTATGCTACTCGTGCTTTCACCTCGTTGGCCTCGTTGGGGGCGGGGTCATCAAAAGGTTTTCGGAAGCCCGGGGTCCATTTTCCAAATAGGATCCCCGTGAGGTGCCCTCGGGAGTGAAGCCCAGGGCGAACTGCCCCACCGGCCCACCCACAACTACTCCTCTCCTAGGCCCGCGAGTGTATGTATGTTGAACTTCCTTCGCCCCGTACGTAGCCAACCGTGCTAATCGGGAGGTGCGGGGGAAGGACAACAAACTAAACACAAAAAGCAGTTCGAAAAAAAACGAAGGAAGAGCGTTCCAGACGGCCGCAGAAGCGCACCTGAAAGCGCGCGATGCGGTGACCGTCTTCGTTTCAATGGCGAGCCAAAAGCTGCCGCTGCTATGAAGATGATGCGGAGTTCGCGTGACGGTTTATGCTTCTTGACGAGATCAGCAAGGTATTGTGGTTCCCTTGTGGCAAGCACTTTGTGTGTAACGAGTGCGACCTGACGTTTCTAATCGTTGCACAACAACGGTTATAAACGTCAAGCGGTTAGTTCACCAGCATTGCTCGAAGATACACTGTGTTTCGAAACCGGTGCAGAGTTTGCGTGTGTTGAACCAATGCTTGAACGTCTTTCGCACCGTACTGCTGGGATTGTGCACTCCCCAGAAGGCCATGTGGCTGATGGGATGCGTAATTTTTGTGTGTTTTCTTTATTTTATTTTCGCGGAGCGACAGACGCGTGCCCGCGACGGAGACGGCGCGGGCGAGCCAAGTGGGTGCGGGCGGGCGCGCTCTCACCCCGTTGGGGTAGTGGTTGACGTAGAGCTTCTGCTTCTCGTACATGGAGGTGAGCACCGTGCCGTCCTTGAGGTCGCTCGTGAGCAGCCGCCGGTCCACCATGTGGTAGCGCAGAGCGTTGAGCAGCTCGATGTTCACGTTGGTCGTGAGCGAGTCGCGAACTTCCTGCGCGCGCGAAGTTAAACCAGGGATCACTCAAGGAGTTTTTCACAAACCGTTGGTGGGAGAGGCCATACAATAATTTGAACAATATTGTCGCCCTTTTTTTTGTTGCAACATTTCTGGTTTTGCTCATGAATAAAATCAATCGGCATGGCTCGACAACATCAGAGATTGGTGCCAGAAAGATGCGGCACTACTTGAGCATATTGGCACAAGACGGAGAGGAAAGTGGAATCAAATTACGAAATGTGCAGTGGACACCTACAGGGTATCTGCCCGTCGTGATGATGATGTTTGCCCACGTGAGAACGTGTTTTGATTGGCTCCGTCAGGTGGTGGAGGGTTATAGTTAAAAATTGGGATACTAACACGATTGAACCCAAAATAAACTAATGATGAATCATAATACTGGTCATGAATGGATCGATATGTTGTTTACGGGCCGTTTCAAAGTGGTGGTTGTGGGTCCTATGAAATGAAGTTATGCCCGTGCTTAACACGAGACACACACAAACAGGAATTTATTTGTGTGTGTGTGTAGGTGTATGTGTACCTCCATGTGTGTGTATCTAAAGTCAATGTGTGTGTGTGTGAGTCCATATGTGTGTGTGTGTGTAAGTCGATGTCTGTGTGCGTGTGGGTCAATGTCTGTGTGTGTAGGTCGATGTGTGTGTCTGTATTTTTCGCCCAGGCAACGCCGGGTACTTGCCGCTAGTCTTCTATAGAAAAGAACAACGATCAAAAGAATGCCCCTCTAATTGTATAACCTAACAATAGCTTATCCAGGGTTTCGGCGGAGGAGGGGGATACACACACACATGGGCTTACGGGGACCCCTTCACGTTCCCTAGCGAGCATGTGAATAGACACGCGCACACACACAAGGGAACATTTAGCTATACGGTCTAATAGTAGACCGCTCTTATAAAATATCTTAATATAGATGTTGGCTTTCAACTAATCGGCAACATCTTGCAGTGTTTTCAAAAAGTAGAGAACACCCTGTGAAGTGCTGAATAGGAACAAATTCCCACACACACCAATTTCATCTCTCTGCTAACGGCCGACAATCAGGGCTAGGCACCCATGAGAGAGAGGGGAGAGGGGCACGCACGGAAATAATAACAATTAAAAAAGCTTAAAGTGCCATTGACAAAGCCCTGCGCTTGTGCGCTCGACTTAACGTAGTTCTCAGCGGGGGAAACCGTTTGGCCCCAACTAAGTGGTGAATTGAAGGACCCACCCTCCAGCTAATTTAAACCCGGACGCCGATGGCTGTATAGCGCTAACCCTGGCTCTAATCTCATGCGCAGTGCACGCAAGGCAAACGCGCAACAAAGACCGATTGGCCGCCAGAGTGTGAATGAAAAGGCCTTCAAACGAAATACTTCCTGCAATTTTTTTTGGCGGAACAAAAGTCACGTGCGATTTTGCTGAAAAGCACGTTTTGACACACTTCTTATCGTTTCACACTTCTTATCGTGCGAGCAAACAGAAGCTTCTGTTTGCGTTGTTAACTCCCGAGAGGCGGCGGCGTAACGGCGCGGCACGGCTGCACCGACCCCAGAGGATGTCACCCTGGGGACGCCTGCTTTCGCCTCTTCAGTCGGACCCCTTCACCGCAGCCGCGGTGGGGGGGGCGACTGAAGGTTCGCCGCACGTCGGCCATCCTCTACTTGCGTGACTTCAGTCGATTTTTCGAAGGACCGTGCGACGAGAAATACAAAACTTGACTCGCGGCAATCGGTGTTTTATGTCGCCGTGGGTTATGTTGCTGGGACTAGCGATAGGAAGCATGAGTGCAATTCATTATTTTGTTGTTCTACACAACTGGCCTGGAGGCTTCGAGAATCTGCTGTATTTGTCTCACGTGGCGGTTCGGGATTCGGGATTTAAGAGTAGTAACATCCTGGTATCGCCTGGTCCAACGCGCAGGGGTACCGATTAAGGCCGTGATGATTCACCCCCCCCCCCCGACACCGTTCTCCGCCCTACCTCGCAATTCAATAACTCGTCCCTGTTAGGGGACACAATTCTAAAGACGAATGAATTATCTTGGTAGCGTTGTGGTTCAATGTATCGGGCCGTGGCTCCCAAGTGCAGTGGAGGACCTACCTTAGGTAGCTCTAACCACGCCTCATTGCTGGGAGCGAACATGGTGTGAGCGCCAGGCCCCTCGATCTCAGGCCGCAGTCCCGACTGGTTCGAGTATTTCTGCGTGAGAGTGGCCTCGATGGGTTCCAGCGTCTCGTAAACGTTCACGATGGGGGTGACTGGTGCACGGAGCAAAAGGCAGGGAGGAAAAAATACGTCGTGTTCACGATGGGAGTGACTGGTGCACGGAGCAAAAGGCAGGGAGGAAAACCACGTCGTGTTCACGATTACAGCAGCAGCAGCATTGAGATTATTACATTTAAATGCACATAGTCGCTGGCATACAAAGATCTCCTGTATAGCTTTAACAGACTGTTTGGGAAAGCGCTGTTAGTGAGCACTTATGAAGGTCGGAATGGTGCACGAGGGTATGGGTTAGCAGCACCACGCCCGGCCACCTTTGTCTCCCGAGTGAAAATGTTAACACACAGCACCAGGTACTCATTTGCGGCTGAGTCAACCTAGGGGTGGCACAGCACGGGTTCAGATAATGATCACTGGTGTTGACCGTTAGCGGGAATCGAACTCGGGTCGCCGGGTCCGTAGTAGAGCGCGCTAACCGCTGCGCCACCACTCCCCGTCATGTTTGTGTGTTTTGTGTGCGATGGGGGTAACACAAAGCACTCGTGAAACCCACATCCTGGCACAATGTGGGAATGTTTTCATAACAGTACGCAGAAGAAAAAAACAATAATCTATTCCTAACACAGAGGAAGTGGGATTGCTGAGTCTTGGCCATAGTGATTTGATCCCAATATTGAAATTGCATAGACAGGATAATGCTCACTTAGACCACTAATAACCAGCCCCAACTCAGATATCATTGAACGCCAGTGGTGAGTGATATTAGTTCTGGGAGGCCAACACATGATCGACATGGCATGCGGAGGTCTTCATCCAGCAGTGCAGTTAAAAAGGGATGTAAATTATTTTTATATAGAGCCAAACCTCACTTAATCTCGTTACAATTCACATATTCAACATATTGCATCTTATTTAACTGGATGGAAGTTTTGTTAATTGTGCAGAAATATATAATTATTTGAGAATGGTGGTAAAGGTTTTAGTTGAAAATACGTACATATTGATTTATATGCAAAGAGAGGTCACTTTGTTCAAAACTATAACGGGAGGGTGGGGGGGGGGGGTGCTTACAATATTTCCCAGTATTCCCAAATATTTAACCATGGGTGAACAAATATTCAGGAGGCACATATATAACAAACATTTTTTTCCTGACACCAACGTTACAGTGATGGAATGGGGTTCGCCCGCGCTCACATCGATGAGCGTAAAAAACACACTCACTTGCCGAACAGCCATCGACGCCGTCCACTCTGACGTAGCCAGGACAGCACTCATAGGTCACAATCCTGTGCGAGAGGGGGCAGCGAGAGAGACCCACGTGTGAAAGGCAGGCACCGCTTGCTCCCACATTCCAGGACAAAATAAGGCCCCCAGTTGTCCAGCAGCGGCCTCTTCCTCCAGATGCCTGCCGTACACGTTGCTTTCCCCGTTGCCATGCCCGGAGCCAAGCTCAACCCTGACCTTTTTTGTTGTTGTTGTTGTTACACAACGGTGGGCTCCTTCAACAGGTGGCAACACGAATTATGAGTTCCTCCTGCCTTGCTACCGGGAGGTACGGGTCCCAGAGTCGTTCGTGCGCATGCCTGGTTTCAGAGCAAGGGTCAAATCCCTCACTTTAATCCGACGCCGCATCTCCGATAATTGATGCTCAAAAGGCCCTCTGGGGTTTCTAGGTGGGTCAGTTGTAAGTGAAATGACATATGGCTTTGAAGCCACTTTGTCTACCCACCCTTTCGTCTCCCCCCCCCCCCCAACAGTGTGGTTTTTTTTTTTCAAAAGGAATGACAGCCCTGCATGTGGCTCGTTCAGACGCGGGGGTAGACGGTGCAGGCGGGAAGCAGAGTTATTCATGCACGGTCTGCGGCCTGACCTTTCAAACAATGAGCGTCTGCCAGACATTGCGCTCAGTTTTTTCTTCGTTTTTTCCATTATGTATTTCCCGAGGCCCCAGCACCCCCCGCCCCCAACCCCCCACTACAACCACCCCCCCCCCCCCACTACAACCACCCCCTGGCGGGTTGAAGTCTCAGAGCCAAGCTAATTAAGAGGCCGTTTAGGATTTTATGCCCCGCTAAATGCGTCCACAAATCGTGCGAGGACTTGTACGAATTACACGTCCCGGGCGGAGCTTATTTTCGGAGCACTGGGTTAACACCCTGCACACACACACACCTACACCGACACACACACGCACACACACACCTACACCCACACACACCTATACACACCTGCGCACACGCACACACACACACCTACACCCACACACACCTATACACACCTGCACACACGCACACACACACATACCTGTACACACAAAGACAAATGTCTCCCGTATAGCCTTAATAGACTCGAGGGCCAAGTGCTGTTAGCGAGCACCTATGAAGGCCGGAACGGTACACGAGGGGGTGGGTGGCCAGCACCACGCCCGACCGCCTTTGTCTCCCCAGTGGCGATGTTTACACACCGAACCAAGTACTCATTTGAGGCTGAGTCGACCTAGGGGAGGCCCAGGACCGGTTCAGATAATCGGCACTGGTGTTGGCCGTGAGCGGGAATCTAACCCGGGTCGCCGGGTTCATAGCGCAGCGCGCTAACCGCTACACCACCGCTCCCTGTACACACACACCTGTACACACACACCTGTATACACACACACACCTGTACACACACACACACCTGTACACACACACCTGTACACACACACACCTGTACACACACACCTGTACACACACCTGTACACACACACACCTGTACACACACACCTGTACACAAAGATCAAAAGACAAAGATCCCCCATATAGCCTTAACAGACTGTAGGGGCAAGTGCTGTTAGCGAGCACCTATGAAGGCCGGAACGGTACACGAGGGGGTGGGTGGCCAGCACCACGCCCGACCGCCTTTGTCTCCCTAGTGGCAATGTTTACACACCGCACCAGGTACTCATTTGAGGCTGAGTCGACCTAGGGGAGGCCCGGGACCGGTTCAGATAATCGTCACTGGTGTTGGCCGTGAGCGGGAATCGAACCCGGGTCGCCAGGTTCATAGCGCAGCGCGCTAACCGCTACACTATCGCTCCCCATCACCTGTACACACACACCTGTACACACACACACCTGTACACACACACCTGTACACACACACACACACCTGTACACACACAAAGATAAAGATCCCCCATATAGCCTTAAGAGACTGTACTGATCGTAAATGCAGATGTGCGGAAGTCGCCGGAGCTGACGTGAACCCTGAAGCCGGAGCTGGCGACACCGTTCAAGCGGAATGAAGCAGATATGCAACAGTGTTCTTTTACATTAAAGTAGAGGGGGTTTCAAAGAGTTGTGATTCCAAAACTTCAGTCTCCCATGACCACCACTGTCCAACTTTCCATGTCTATCAAGTCAAGCGAACGTGATGCACGTTACACAGAAAGCATGGACCTTTCCCGGTGCAACGTTGTGGCTCATTTGATGTGTCATTATTATATACGCGACATACCCACACACCCACGAAAATGGCAGGTGTGGACCAAATATAACTGGATTGGACTGAGCAGGAATTGTGTTGCCTCCTATGCTAGTCCAGTGAACTCCATGCCTGGTTTAATGGAAGGGTCTTCACGATGCCCTACAAAGTGCAGAACAGATCGTGGACGGGGGTTTGGGGGGGGGGGGTAACCGGGTCAAAAATAGGGGTTTGCAGCGTTCCGCTTTTTTAAAAATAGTCCAAAATACTGCAGAGGTCAACGAATACCGTTAACTCTACGACACACGTGTTCTAGTTATTAAACCGATTCGTTCAACACTCTGACGGGGGGGGGGAGGGGGGGGGCTACGTGTTTGTCTGGTTATTTTTTTACAAATGCCGTCACACGATCGATGTGACAAGACAAATGTGGCGTAATTTTGGCAAAGAAGCGTTCTCGGTATCCGACCCCCGGTGTACGGCTACGTTGTGGGATTTGAACCCACGACCCTCTTGCTCGAGGCAGGCGTTCAACCAACTCATCCATCCTCACGTCTATATTTACGCGCGCGCAATAAAAGTGGTGCTAACGTGCAAGCGCATGTACGTGATGGCGTGAAATAGTTCACTGTGCTCTCTCCGTGCCCGTTTTAATTTTGTTATCGTGCAAAATTGGCTTCAAATTATCCGTAACGTGCCGCATTATTTGATTGCCTTCAGATTATACTTTTGCAACGATCGTACATTACGGGGATGACTAGTAGTATATGTTTTAGTGTGGAAATACTCAGTTCTGGCACATTGGTTCATGCACTGCACTATGAACCCAGCGACCTGAGTTTGATTCCCATCAGTGGCAGTGGTATCTGAAGCGGTCCTGAACACTGCCTTAATCCATCGTGCACTGACCAGAGTAGTGAAGTATGGTATTTTAGTTTCCTTGACTTTGGTGGGAGAAGGCCTTTATCCAATATTGCATTGACAAAGGACTATAAATTGTTGTTTGTTTTTGTATACTATTAAACTGCATAGCAAACAGTACGTAATCACATATTTACCATACCGTCATTTACATGTTTTTTTGACACAAGTGAATATCATATTAAATACTCTAATTAATCTGAGCCACACACACAGTACTGCATTAACTAAGTTAAATTATTTACACAGCAAGCCTTACTGAGTCTTTAAACGAATTTGACTCAATTCATCATTCTCCACCGATGCAAATAGTAATCATTAATTATATTTATTCATGAAGCCTCACTGAGTCCCAAGACTGTTTTTTTCAGGCGTGTTCCACATGGGGATTGTTTGGCCAATTCCACTGGTAAGCGTTTTTGGCTTCATGAGGAAGGAAGCCACAGAATCTGGAGAACACCCACCACCTCACGGTGCCACACCTGGCAAGCCTCTGGTGGCTTCGCACCACGGTACCAAACCAGGCTCAAGCCCAGCTTGTCTTCTGGATTACCTCGAGAGAAACTCTTAAGTCCTGCGGAGGCAAAAGTTTCGTCACCAGGTTGCTGGGCTGCGCCCAACGCGTCGGGCTCATTCAACACGAGCTGTCGCTGAAACGAACGCTCGCTCCGCACTCACGTTTTCTTTCCGCAGATCTGCTTCTGGTACCACTGCTTGCAGTTGGAGTAGTATTTCTTCTCCGTGTCCACCACCTTCTGCACGGCGCACACGTTGGCCCTGCGGTGAGGTCATCAGCTCGGTTAATGCGAAGGCCAAAGATCCCCCAGACAGCCTTAACGGACTGTTGGGGCAAGTGCTGTCAGCAAGTGGCCACTATGAAGGCCGGCACAGCACACGATGGGGTTGCACCACGCCCCGTTGCCCTTGTCTCCCCTGTGGCGATGTTTCCACACCGCTCCAAGTGCTCATTTGAGGCCGAGTCAGCCCAGGGGAAGCCCAGGACCGATTCAGATTACCGCCGCTTACCCACGGACATACGCGTACGACCCGCACAGTGTGAACACAATGCTCGCGGTGTCTAACGTGAACAGTTCATCGTAATAAATGTAATTAACGTGTTTCAGCTCTGTGGTGCATATACCCTCTAGAAATCGAATTTAGGTCTAACATTTTTTTTTTAAGCCATGAAAAGGCTGAACTTTTTTTTTCTCCTATATGCGGTCGTTACACAAACTTTGAATACATTGTTTTCTGAATAAATGTTTAATTCCATGAGTTTTTGCGGTGCTTATATATATACATTTTTACTTTGGCATATTAGATACGGAATTGTACACAGAACAGTTCTGACCAACATTGTGAATTCAATTTGCTTAAATGGAAGTACTTTCAGAAATGCTGTCGTATATAAAATAATGCCTTAATGTATAAGTTGCTGAAATACTCTATGTATAAATGTAAAACGCACCTTATCTCATGGGCGAGCAAACGTAGAGATGAGTTACACACAATATATTTTTTTAAATGTCACGAATCAAAGGTAAACGAGAAGACATTGTCCAAAAAATTAATCGTGCAATAAATTCAACGCAGCCCTTGCAAAAGCCATCGCTTTTTGCTCCGACCGTACCAAAATTTGACCGTCGCTCGCAAAAACGTCGACAAGTGGCAAAATCTCGGACGAGAGATAGCGAGAGAGATGCTGGGGGTGGCCGTGGTGGACGCTTTTACCCTTGTGTCCGGCCGCGGATGCGACTGTGGGACACGGTGCGGTCGAAGTGCGAAGCGTCCGCCACCAGCGAGAGCACCAGCGCGGCGAGGAGACACGAGGCCAGCATGGTGCAGGTTCCCAGGGAGCCGAGCATCGACACGAATGGGGTGGCCTCCGTCGCTCTGCCGTCGTTATATAGGGGCTCAGGAGCCGGCTCCGGGTAGGCGGAGAAAACGCGGCCACGTTATTTGAGTGTCACTGGCTCTCTTCCCACCCCCCCCCAAGAAAAGTGTTTTTCAAAGAGCGGCCACGGGGAGTTTTGCACGGAGGCAAATGCCCTCCAGTGGCAAGGAAGGGTAATTTTGCGTGTCACGCATTCGTTTTAAAGCTCCTTTTGTCAATCCACTGCTGGATGAAAGCCTCCCCACGCCGTGTCAGTCGTGGGGGTGGGGGGGGGGGGAGGTGGTGGCGGTGGGGAGAGCTGTTTGACCGTACCTCAACACGCTGGTCAGTGCAGGTTTGTGAAGAGGAAACCACTCAGGATTGTTTCAAATATCGCTAGAATTTTTTTTATGTTAGGCGTCTGAAGGAGTTGGGTCGCCAGACTCGTAGCGCAGTGCGCTAACCACTGTGCCACTGCTCCACCCTCCATGTACCGTATGATATGCATCAGTGGCTGGATATCCTAAGAGTTGGCACTCTCATCGCTAACCTAGATTGCATGGAGTCGACAGTTCAGTAAGTAGTCCCTATTGGGGTGCATCGTCCGCTCTAACTATGGACATTAAGTTGTGACTTCGTATGATGTTGTCACGGCCCAAATCCCATGCTTGAAAGATTATATAGAGCAAGGCCACTTCACGTATCACTCGCCACTGATGTTAGCCGAGGTCACCGGGTTGTGGGCATAGGAACTTTGACAATGCTCCCCCTGGTACTTTGGCTCGCCGTTGTAAAGGCTGAGTGATGGCTGCTGTTGTGCATTAGTAGCTCAGATGTCACGAGCCACTGATGTTCGCCATGACTGGGGAATACAGCTCGGGTTGTCAAGATTGTAGATGGAAATTTATGGATGTCACTCAGAGAGAGTTTTCCAAGATTCTGATCCTCTCACCCGTCAAGGTCCACATTTCCATGTTCCAAAATCTTCAAAGACAAATTTGAATTCTGCACGGTGCTGGGGCATGTAGAAAGTAAGTGTGGAAAATCTATCCAGGAAACTTCAATTTAGTGCCTGGTGTGAATTAATTGTGCGCTTATTTTTGCACATTCAAAAACCGCAAATCTAAATGTAACCAAATATTTCACTTAATAATGACTGTCTTTGTCAGAAATAAGCTAAAATACATTTTAAATACAGAAGTCTGCTTGTCTGCTTCCACGGGAGGAGCCAATTGGGTGCCACGAAATCTCTTACCAGCAGTCCTATTTGTCCAGTTACCTGTGGTACATCAACAAATTTTCTCTTACGGATAAGTGGAGTACAATCGCGGTAGCCCCGCGGATAATAGTACCCACAATGATAGTGGTTCCCCACACTTTGCCAGTGCGTTGCGAAGGGGTCTTATTGTCCGGACTCAACGACTCTTTGTGTGGAGATGTAACTTAAGTGACCTCTGGTGGATAAAATGTTCAGTAGTTGGCAGATTTCTTCGGCTCCAAAGCGAACGGTTCAAAAACAAGAGCCGAACGAATCTGGCTTGCATCGCACTCTCGCAAAGGAGCCATGCATAAATGATGTTTGTTTGAGCGGTGAAGTGCCCTTTGTGCTTAAATATTTTTTTTTACAAGAAAACAAACAACTTGGGATCCAGTACGTTCATTTAGAACGTTCAGTTCTAAGCTGGTGGGAAAATTCTGAGCGCACCCTAACGGGGAAACCATAATTCCTAGGGCAATAAAATCTTGAAAACTATAAGTAATGAACTAATGGCTAATAAACATGTTCATAACTATCAATGCTTAATTTTTTGTCCATTGCACACATCCTGGCCCATCTAAGAACAGATTTCAATATGAAGCAATTAACGATTTACACGTTTTCCAACGGCTTTCAATTTATGGTCCCGGTCTCGGTGCAGGCGCTGTATTCCTTTGCATATTAAACACAGCTGTGTAACCCTCGCTCTTATTCCTCGTGTTGCTTGCCAGTGCCTTAAACAGCTCAACGGGGTTAACAAATGAGGAAATTTTCTGCCAGGGCGATCAAATATCGCGGAGGTGAGAATTGTGCAGCCAAATGCCCAGCCGAAAGTTCATATTCTTATCCGCGGACTAAATAAACTAAAATAAACTATTGATTTAAAGCTTTCGTGACTGCATGGATTCATATTCTTGGTTCTTTCGGTAAAGTCACGAATAAGGGAAACAATAAAATAATAAAAATATAAAACAATAAAATTATCGCAAGAAAATTTTCTTGCTGTGGTTTTCACACCTGATGATGATTGCTTGTGTTGCAGTCGAAACGTCGTGAGAATTTTATTTTTATTATTTTATTGTTTCCCTTATACGTGACTTTACCGAAAGAACCAAGAATATAAAATAAACTCATTTTATTTTACCAGGTAAGGCCCCCTGAGCTATATAGCTGTTTTTCAGATGCGACCTGGGCACAAATTATAACCCAACGAAGTGGCTTATCATGTTGAAGTTTGCAGCAGCCAAATACTCTAAACGCGTGATGTTGATTCTAGATGTGGAGGGAAAAACCGGAGGACAAGAGAAAAATCCACGTGACCACGAGGGGAGAGAGAGAGAGAGAGAACATTCAAACTCCAAATACACATGCAACAGGGTCGGGGATCGAACCTACGTCCTCCTGCATACCAGGCGAGGCCGTTAACATCTCGCCGCCGTGGCGTCACGACGAATGTAGTCACGAAAGCTTCAAATCAAGATTGGAATCCAACGCTCCATGGACTCGCCAGCACCAACCTCTCCTGTCTCATTGCCGTGCCGCCGCTGGGGCGGTGACACGACCCAGCGGCGGCGCACTCGCTGCTTGTTGCCAGAAGTTCGCGGTTCGGAATCCAGCGGCCGCCCTGGTTATCGCTGCGCGTGCACTTACCATAAATATACCGCGAGCTTCAGAGCCCACATTAAATATCCCGCGACGTGATTCACGGGAGCGGGCCATCGTGACCAGGCATCGTGGTCCAATAATTGAGAAATTACCTGCGAATGACTCGATCGGGATCACGCACGGCCGCATTGCATCCCCACTGAGAAACTACTGATGACTGTATCTGTGAAACACAGCGTCTTCGTGATTGCCTTGCGCTATACGAATGGCGCGAATATCACATGCATTTCTTATTAACATTGATTTGCAAATCTGAGTCTACATGGTATTGCAATCACGCCCGCACACAAACCGCATATACGCACTCGTAAATTAACGATTACATCCGTATGTTTATTACACTGCAATATAACAGTTCGTAGTGTCGTCGGCTGCTGCATTAATTACGTAACACGGCGTTTTGTTGATTTTCCTCGTTTCAATAGTACATTGGCAAAGATATAGAATCCAGTGTATGCTTTGTATACAATGCATAGTGGCTCTCTACACATACCTATGCAGTCTATTCCAAATACAGCGGGTACGTCGACGCTACATCCTCTTGCTAAAAGTGCGTGCAAGGCCGCATGGCCTCAGTGCTTCTCATATGCGCATATTGCCAATCCGTTTGGCATGATTAGCAGAAGGATTATATGCTGCGCGGTGCTCTTAAAGTCACGCGTGGAGTGTGGAACTTTGGCCTCAAGGTCTCCGAACACCGTAGATACATTTGCGGCAGGATGCGTGTTTCTGTTTTTTTTTCCCTTGCAACCAAAACAGAAAACAGCGGGATGCAAATTTACAGGCCTTGCTAATTGGCGTGAGACATCGTCGCCTCCATCTGTCGCCATGACGATGTACAAGGGCACACGGGAGGGGGTGGGGGTTCATCAACTACGCAGTAAACAAAGCAACGTTGGGGCAACGTTAGAATGCGATTAGGAGGAGAGTTGGACCAATGTTCAACCAACGTTCCATGTTTACTGGGAGCCATTATAGTAAAACATTTAAAACACAAGCTTTAACAGGCAAAAAATATATATTAAAAAAAACCCAACTTAAACTATACTCGTACATTATTGGAATATGACTTACAAATATAATCATTGGTAAAAGTTGAAGAAAAAAAACTACATTTATTATTTTCCATTTGGGGGCCACGGACAGACTTGACCATCATGGTGCAGTCTTGTCAGATAAGTGATCAGGTGACCGTGAGCAGCCAATCACGAGGCTGCAGACCTCCCTGCAAATGCATCCTCAATGTCAAGAGATTGTGATCTTGGAAGGAATGGCTTCCAATTTCGTTGCAGAATGCAGCCTTGAAGCTGGAAACCAACGGCAGCTTGCAGCAGCACATGATATATGCTCAAGGTCTCACTTTGATCCAAAAATCAAACTAGCTTCGCTTGCAGCTTCCACCAAAGCGTTGGCTCCTGAAGTAGATTTGAAATTTGTCTTTGAATCAAACACAACGAGCAGAACTGGGATTATTTAGCTTTAACTCCTACGAGTTTTGGCGTCTTGTAAAGTTGCAAGCATCTACATGTGTGAACAAATTCATCTCTTAGATGCCATGTGACGCAGCGTCCACATAAAACGTGTGCAGTTTATCAGTATTTCAAAAGTACTCCCTGCCCTCAGCATCTTAATTTTTTAAAAAGTTTCTTTACTATTTTCTTTCAAACACGTATCTTCTCAGGAGCTTGAACAACATAACATTTTTTTTTTATCGGAGCAAGAGAATCCACAACTTCTGCCGCAGTCCCAGTTCAGAAGAAGCAGCTTCCTCGGACAAAACTTAATCGGTTTTGAATCTTCCATCTCCAGAGCTGTAAAGTTCACCTCTTTGTTGTTGTTGTTGTTGCTATTGATGTAAATATATTTTTTCAAAATCATCAATAAAATGGCAAGTACAAGCGGCTCGAAAAAAAACAAAGAACAAAAAAACCAAACTACGAGCGAGCCAGCGAGATCAGAGTCGAGTTGTCACGTAGGGCCCCGACATGCCGTGCCACGGTCCATCCCCAAACACCGCGTCCTCCTCCTCCTCCTCCTCCTCTCCGTGCTCGAACACCACGTTGGCGAAGTCGAACCGCGACGACTCCGGGCTGAAGACGCAGGCGAGCCTCTCCAACGACCCCTGCGACGCCTCGTCTCCCCTCTCGTCCGCCACCATCGACGCGCTAGAGGACGCCGCCGCGCAGTCCGCGGCCGTCGCGCGACACGGGGGCCCGGCGGCCGAGGCGACGGAGCAGCGACCGGCGGCGGCGGCGGCGCCGCCGCCGCGCGACGACGAGCACCCGGGAACCTCCGCGCCCGCGAGGTGCGACGGCGAATAGAAGCCGAAGCGGAACCGGCGCTTGCGCCGAGGCGGCGGTGCCGCGGCGGGCTGCACGCCCGCCTGCCGGAGGCCGCTCCCTCCGCGCCGCCGCGCCACGCTCTCGGACAGCGAGCGGATGCGCCGCACGTTGCGCCGGGGCAGCAGCTCCAGCTTGCCGAGGAAGCGGCCGCCGGGCCGCGGCAGGTGCCTGTTGAGCCGCCCGCCGACCCCGTTCACGCACGTCCCGCCGAAGCCGCCGATCCCGTCCGATATGAGCACGCCGTTGCTCCCGTGGCCGAAGGAGAGCGCGTCCCAGGTCTCCGCCTGCGTGGGGATCAAGAATTCGGGCCGGCGCGCGTCGCGTGCCTCGGCCGGCTCGCGCCGCTCGCCGCCGCCGCCGCCGCCGGCATCGTCTGTCTGCGGGGGGCGCGGAGTGACGTCGAACGGGCAGCCGTGGGGCGGGTGGCCTCCGTCTCGCTGGGGCGCGTGGCCCGCAGCGCCGCCTCCGAGGTCAGAGTCGTCCGCCAGGCTGGCGCGGGCGCCGCCCTCCGCCCCGCCGCGTGGGAAGCACGTGTCAGTCTCGGGGCTGCTCTTGTCGGGCGTCGTGGAAATCTGCGAGGTGTCAACGGACGAGCCTCGCCGCTGGGAAGCCGCGTCGAGCATGCTCATGACCTCGTAGCGGAAGCTCGAGATGTCCTGCTTTAGCTCCTGGGGACAACAGAGATTCGGCCCTTGGCCACCCACATCCAACTGGGCTGCTGGATTCGCTGAGAATCCTTTTTTGCGATATCTCGTGAAGCAGTGCAGCTCCCACGTGTTAGCAAACTGCCCGCGGAAGCAGATGTCATAGATCTACTTCTGAGATTACTTCTAATTTCCTTTAATCCACAGATTAGGAGATACAGTTTATCACACACCCGGTATATGTGAAAATTTTTGTTGCATGAAAAAGTAATATACTCTATATATTACTTCTGAGAACTTGGAATTTAGTCAAGTTTAGTGAAAAAACGTAATACAGGTTTTTTGGGTTAGATCGCATAAATATATAAATGTGTCGTAAAACCCGACACAGGCTATTAGTAAGGTTTGTCACGTAAACAGAACATGCCAATTCGTTACTAGTACAGCACACGGATGTGTTGGAGAGCCAAGCCACAACATTTACAATCTGAGTACGACGTTTCGCCAGTAATTACAACTAGCTTCATCAGGCGACAGCCAGATTTGTGAAGTCCTCCTGTTTCGTTCCTGACATAGAGGGGTAGATGTGATGACAACACTTGTGTATGGGGTGGGAGTAATGAATCCATATAAATCACTGGGTATCCATTGCCATTTGGGTATCTTATATGGTAATCAACGTACATTATGCATGCGCATTGTACAAGCCAATGGTTCTTGTACAAGTGTCGATTGTGTGTACTAAAATAGCCATACCAACGGTAATCCAACGGATTTAACGACACATTTATATATTTACGTGATCTAACCACCCAAAAAAACCCCCTGTATTATAGATGATATTGATAGTGAAAGCCTACGTGTTAAACTGACAAAAAACGGGAATTGTTATTTTGTGCACTCATTGGGGTTGAGTGCCCTGATCATGAGTATCAGGACGCTCATACACACACCTCCCAAAATGAATACCTTATTAAGCATTTACCACTGAGACGACGCCAGCAGCGAGCATCTGCTGATGAGCTGCAGCAGGGCCGAAGCCTTACCTTGAAGCTATCCTCGACCAGGCTCTCCCCGGACCTCTCGTTCCTGACCATCGCTGCCACGTAGCGCTTAACGAGGTTCTTGATGACCTCCTGAAACACAGGGGGGGTGGGGGGGGTGGTGAAATTGTAAAAAAGTTATTTATAAGTTATACTGGATGGCGAGTGGATAAAAGATGAACCATTTCTTGTCCTTCCTCCGTTAATGTCTTAATGTGGCCCATTTCCTCATCGACAGTGTCCGCAATAGCTACCTGGGGGTTTGTCACGAGACTTGGTTCCCAACACAGAATGCTCGTGACTTATGACGACATAAAATCACCGCTTCTTAATGCTCGTGATCGTATGAGAAACGACAGTTCATCAGTGTGATGATGCAGTGGAGCTCCGTAAATAGGCGTTTATAAAACTAGTTAAATAAATAACATCAGCGCAAAACATAACATCTAATGCAGGAAGTTCAATTAGCATGGGGAATAATGATGTATTATATGATCAGTCGTGAGTAATACATCAGCGGGTGAGCGGCTGAGCGTTAAATATCAGAGACCCATTGTTACCTGATATTCATGAGTTCTTCTTAAGTTGTCTGAAGTCTTCTTCTATACAGACAAAAGAAAAAAGCAATGTTAAATGCAGCGTACCTAAATTGGTTTATGGTACATTGCACGTAAAAGTTTTGTGGTTGGTTGAACGGAAATGGCGCAGAAATGTGTGGGCGTACAATATTTGGTTTAACACGTTGGCTTTCCAAAAAAAAAACCCTGTATTCTGGATCGTACAATATTTGTTTACGTGTGTCGGAGTTTTTGTATTTATTTTACAGTACGTATGTATGTTGAATTTCTTTGGCGCCGTGCGTAGCCAACGGTGCCAATAGGAGGTGCGATTTCCACCACTTGTGACAATAATAAACCTCACCACCCACAGTCGTTAACCCAGCTTCTAGAAATACGGGCACGCTGCCACAGTGGTGTAGTGGTTCGCACACCGGACTTGCAATCCAGAGGTCACCGGCTCGATCTCCTGACATGGTGGTTGAAACAGTGGTGAAAGTTTCTTAAATCCCGCGCACCCCACCCCGCCTCCACCATCGAGCGGAATAAATGAGTTGCACCACAGTTATTTCATCGGCAGGTCGCATGCGGTGATGTTGTATTCTATTCTTGCGATGATGGCAGTCGCACGTTCTGGAGCTAAATTTCAATGTCGAGGTCTGCTTGCCACGACCAGAGGGCTTTAGGAGATAGAGAGAGTGTGGTGTTGTTATTCATCCTCCTCCGTTCAGGGAGCGCAGACTACAGTTGTTTTACTCGACGGTCCACAATTGTGCCACTGTGGTTTGTGAATTTAATTTTCCACATATGGAAGGAGATGTGAGCATCGGCCTGTTGTTGTTTCTGATGGTTCCACCGGTGTCTTCGAGGAGGAATGTCAAAGCCAGGAGGTGCGATGTTGTGGGTCTTGAATGAGGTGTATATTTGAGAGGCTAAGTGTGGGTACTCCCTCATGTTTGAAGATGGACTATCTCGGGCTCCCTTCGGTGGAGGCCCTTCTGCCAGCAGTTGCATGAGCAAACAGTTGCAGGGCTGCACCTTCGACTTTGTCCATAACTATGCTCTACAAGAACTGAACAATTCAGAGATTTCAAACCTTGAGAATAAAGGTCCACTGCCAAAAACGTGAGCATATTAGCCTCTTCTCATCTTGCGGTGCTCTGGTATTAAATGATGACTGCGGTAAATGTTTTTTTTTTCCAGTATGCCTCCAAACCATCGACAAAGCTGTCCATTGGAGGAAAATGCAATAAAAAAAACGAACGGATTCCAATTTATTTCGTTACCAAATATCGATCCGTCACAGTGCAGCAATTTAACTCCGCTGTTATAAATATCGAATCGGTTCCTGGGCCGAACGCCACCCCTTTATTGCTTTTTAAACTTCCTGGTGTGAGCCGGGCTCGAGTGATTGAACATGACCGGCTTCCACAATGCACTAGGCATGTAGAGGTAAGAGGCAAAGGCGCAGCGGTGCAATTTCCTGCTTTAATCACTTCTGGTTGCTGGACTTCCACGAGGCAATTTTGGCCTACTCTTTCATGCTGGGAGAGGTGAGATTACCCACATTTTACACTTTACCCACCGTATGCAACCTCCCGATCGATTCATTGTGGTGTACCCAGTCACACTAAACTAAATTATAATTTTTTTTCATTTTACCAAGGCCCACTGAGCTAGATAGCTCTTTTTCAGAAGCAACCTGGGCGGATATGATAGCGCAACAAACTGGCTTATCACGTGGAAATTTATAGCAGCCAAGTACTCTAAATGGAGGGATAAACCGGAGGACCTAGAGAAAAATCCACACGACCACGGGGAGAACATGCAAACCCAAATATATAGGCGTCAGGGTCGAGATCGAACACCATGACCTCCTGTATCCTAGGCGAGGTAGTAAACATCTCGCCACAATGGCGCTTTATTGGGCGAACAGAGGTGGTGGAGGATTTAACAAAAACTTGCCCCATTGTTTCAACTGCCACTCAGGGAGGCTGAACCAGTGACCTCTGCACTGCAAGTCCAGCGTGCTCACCATTACACCACAGCAGCATCCACAGTGGTGAAGACGTATTAAACTGTATTACAATCACAAAGTTGTTATATCGGTAGAACGCGGTATGACTTTTAAGTAAAAAAAAATTCACCGATGACGATTTAAACTCATATCAGATAGCTTCGGATACGCGGTCTAAGTTTAAATTATAGCGTGCTTTGATTTTTTTTAGTGGCATCTTCATTTAATTTGTATTTGAAATAGGCAAAGAAATTTGCATTACGGATAAAGATGCGTATTTATTGGGCACTTAAGATACCTTCCATCTCATCTCAACCATTCCACTGCCGTGCTGTTGTCTAGCCAAAGGGGACCCTCCCACAGTGGCATCTGTCCCTGTTCAGAATTCCTGGTCATTTTTTTTTTGCAGTGCAATTGAATGTTTTACCCCGATGGCGCCGAACTTGCGATGCTTCCTGATTGGCTCGCCAGCCGTGCCGGGGCCGCACGGGCAGATGCAAGCGCGCACGTAGCGGCACAGGTACCACGCCGACTTGGGGCTTGGCACGATGTTGAAGGGGGGCGGCAGAGTGGCACCCTCCTCGAAGTAGCTCATCCACAGCTTGGTCCGCGCAAACTTCCACTCGATGTCAGCGTGGTCCTGCGAAGGGCGCGGGCGTGTTACAGCGCACGGGGGAGGGGGACGCAGGGCCGTTGAAAGTGAGCCCGAGGCACGCTGGGCCGTTCAAAGAGAGACCCAGCGTGGCTCGTCACTTTGTCCCAGCACTGCAAGAGCCGAGCTATCGAAGCGTCGGAAAACGGCGCATGGAGGAAGACGTGGCGGAACTAAGTTTGAAGTCAGAATCTTTAGAATCCGAATACTTGGACATATAAGTTGACCGAGTCTGTGAGTGGAATATCATGGTCACAAGTGTCAAAGGCTTTTGACAATTCGAGGAATAGTGCACAGCAGTAGTGGGCTTTTATCCAGGTTACTGAAAATAAAATGTTATGCTGTACATCGATCATAGCTCTGGCGGTGCAGCAATCCTTGCGAAAACCAAACTTTGGTGTGCAGGAGATTGCGAATTTTTAAGTAGCAGTTTATTTGCGATTGAAGTATCTTTGTTCAAATATTTTATTAACCAGCGTAAGAATAAGGTCTACAATGATCAGGATCTTCCTTGGAGTGAATCCACGTGCATCTTATTCAAGCGAGGAGGTGCACCCTTTTTGTTCTTGTTACAAATGTAATACATTTAAAAATAAAAAAAAATGTAGGCGAGACCCCGGTGCCCCCAGGGATCTCCACGCTGGTCCGGTGTGGACTCGTGAAGGTGGTGGCGAATCGAGGGCAGCATTGGCTTTGGCTGCGCCGCTGCCCCTCAACCTTGCCCACAACGCCGACTACACCTTCCATTGTCCTTTAGTGGGCACCCCATTCAAGCACTATGCAGGTTCAAATCTGCTTAGCTTTCGAGGTCCTGATTCCACGTGATTTGGATCGGAGGCAGATGCACGTATTATGGTTTGGCATGCAACGATTGCAGAACTAAAATGCATTTCGCCTACTCACAATACCGTACAAAGGTACACGACTCCCCGCTGCCACTAGAGGTCGCTACGGTGCACTAAATATGACTCTTGAATTGAATCGTGACCCCGAATTGTGGCAATTTATCAAATCACCGGGTTTCGGGAGGGGGTGTTGAATCATTGCTCCCCTCACACAGCGTACAGTTCCCCCCCCCACCCCCTGACCTGGTACGAATGTTTCTGCGTCAGCAAAACTCGGCGCAGATGTTTGTACCATTCCGTGTAATTTACTTTAGCGCCGGAGTGGATGATGCGTCAATAATGCTTCTTTGTGCTGCTGCTGCTGCGGCGAGCCAGCAGCAGCAAGCGAGCAAGGCAGAAGCGGCACTGCTATTGCAGCCGTGCAACCTACTCAAAATAAACAGGCGGTCTTTCCACTAGGTGGCACATTGGCAACGCATTTAAATGGTTCGCAGTGTTTCCAAAGCTGCTGATGATGCTGCGGCTGGACTGGCCATGTTGGCGGCACGGCGTTCCCTCGCTCGGGGCCACCCAGAAAGGCTGGACTGAACGAAACGAGGAGCGCTGACTTTGGACATTTCCCCGTGAATTTAGTGAAATGGAGCGCGTCGCTGGCAATGCAAAGCAAGAACCAGAAAGGATTAATAAAATTCGCCGAGCATTGAGCTTGCAGTATGGTGCACGGCAGGACGGAACACAAACGCTGGCTTGCTTTGCTTTTTTTAATGTATGAACACCCCACTTTCCTAAACTAAAACTAAACATTTTTACTTTACCAGGTAAGGTCCACTCAGCTATCGAACTCTTTTTCAGAAGCCACAAATGATAGCTCAGCGAAGTGGCTTATGTGGAAATTTATAGCCGCCGAATACTTTATAAACGCATGTTTATAAATGTGGAGGGGAAAACCGGAGGACCCAGAGAAAAATCCACGCGACCACGGGGAGAAAATGCAAACTCCAAATATACAGTCATCAGGGTCATGATCAAACTCACCAGGCGAGCTAGTAAACATCTCACCACCGTGGCGCCCCACGGTGTTTTTAAAAGCATTACAACTTGTCTATGAATATTGCCACTTGTACCATTTTGCAACGAAGTGAATTGGCTTTTTCCATTCGGCTATATATATTTTTTCTATACCAAATATTTATTCTGCACACTTTTTTAGTGTGTGCAGTGCATGGGGGGGGGGGGGGGGGTGGGGGGGAGTGCATTCTAGAATTTAAAACAAGGCAGTGGTGGCAGTGGTGGTCTGGACTCATAGGTTGAGGGCATGTATAGATGGGTTATTGTGTGGGATCACACAGGTGGTTTCACTTAAAGTTTTCAGATAGATCGACTTACTCGTGGGTGTACCACCTAGTACTTTTAACGATAAATTAATACGCTATCTATTAATGCCTCATTAGAGATGCTACATGATGTTAAAGCACACCTGGGAAATTAGGAATTGTTACTCAACGATTAACACAGATACCCGAGGGGCACGTCGGATCCATTGTGAATGTGACCTCGTGTGGACAAAGCCATTAGTCTCAATTTGTTCTTATTGATCCTTCTGATGAGTCTGCAAGTGTTGTCTGTCGTCGGGCGTTGTCAGAAATGTATTTTATTGTAATGCTACGATCGTGCGCCACTTTGTGGATTACATTTAGCAGGTAATTCGTTAGACGTTTAATTTTGGTGTAATTCCGCGTTGTTCAAACACGGTGCAATTCACCGGAACATTAAGGTTTATCAGATGAAGTATAAGACAGAGCCAAGCCTGCCAGGTAATGCGCAGCCAAAATACATGTAAAACTTATACACGATGAGCGTCCGCTTACATAAATACATGACAGAGCCCAAGGGTCAGTGTTTACGTATCCTTAAAAGTAGGCCCTGCTTACACGGGATGCTGCCGTGGTGTAATGGTTAGCACACTGGACTTGCAATCCAGAGGTCGCCGGTTCGATCTTCCGGCGCGGCTGTTGAAACAATGGGAACATTTCTTAAATCCCCCCCGCCTCCGTCCCCCCTAGAAAGTAGAAATGGGTTGACCACAGTTAGTCGGTCAACAGGTCACGTGAGGTGGGCCAAAGCGCGGGTAATCCCACCTCTTCCAGGGCGTTTGGAAGAGTAGGCCAAATGGCCATCTCGAGAGGCTCTCTAGAACCCCCCTTTAGTGGAGGCCCTTCCGTCAGCATTGGCGTGAGCAAAAAATTCCATTGGTGCTCCTTAAGCTCTTACATCTTTAAGCCCTGTTCAAGACCACTATTGGACATGCGCGCACCACGGCCCCCACTCTCACAAGGCGCAGGGACAATGGCTAGACAGCCAAAGCATTGCTTTGACCTGGCCAGGTGGGTGGGGGTGTGTGTGTGTGGGTGCGAGCACTGACCGCGATGAGCTGGTAGGAGTTGTTCATCATCGCGATGAGCATGTTGAGCAGCACCACGAGCGAGATGATGTTGTATGTGCCGAACATGGTGGCGCCCACGAACTCGGTGAACTCGTGGGGCGCGCGCACGTTGGTCACGTACAGGTTGATGAGCCCGAAGATCGACCAGAAGAGCGACTGCAGCGTCTCAAACAGCCTGGCACGTCACATGGGGAAATGGAGAGCGAGAGGCGTGAGCGTGGGTGCCTGATACATTTGTGTATTTATCCAGGAAAGTCACACCGAGTCATCAGGAGGGTCCTGCATTGGGATTTTACTTAAAGATTTTTTTCAGCCAATTTGTGTCGATTTATACAAGTGGGAAGTAGCCGGAGCACCCGGAGGAAACGCACACGCACGGAAACAGATGGAAACAGATGGACCCAGATGGACACAGATGGAAACAGATGGAAACAGATGGCCACAGATGGACACAGATGGAAACAGATGGAAACAGATGGACACAGATGGACACAGATGGAAACAGATGGACACAGATGGACACAGATGGAAACAGATGGAAACAGATGGACACAGATGTAAACAGATGGAAACAGATGGAAACAGATGGACACAGATGGAAACAGATGGAAACAGATGGACACAGATATAAACAGATGGAAACAGATGAAAACAGATGGACACAGATAGAAACAGATGGCAACAGATGGAAACAGATGGACACAGATGGAAACAGATGGAAACAGATGGACACAGATGGAAACAGATGGAAACAGATGGACACAGATGGAAACAGATGGAAACAGATGGACACAGATGGACACAGATGATTTTTCCACTCACTGTACCGCCTTCTCCTGGCAAGTCAGAATATGCCACCACCTCAACACCCACGGGAAGAGATTTTCACAACATTTGTGCGATCCAACAACCCTCGCTGCCTCCACAGTGCTGGATCACAGGCCACGTGCATAGCCACCACCGCTCGGCCAAGGGTACTGTATGCATTTATAGGTGCACTTAAATGCCCAGCATCTCAAAGCGCCTTACATTTCATCTCAACCCTTCAGCAGCTTAGCCTAGGGGACCCCCAGTGGCAGCTGTCCCTGTGCGGCACAAGGAGCTCGCAGCAACGGCCTGCAAATGGATCCTGTCTGCCAGTAGGAGGTTGCATTGCTACGTGATATTTCCTAATTATGCAAAGATGCATGGATTTGTTGATTAAAATCGATCTTTTTTGGTTCTTTCGGTAAAGTCACGTAGAATGAGAATAAATCGATCCTTAAGGCAATTGCACAATCTAAAAAAAATCAGACCAATCATATTCGTTGCACGGTTTCGTAATGTGAAAGGAGGGGAGGGATAAGGGTGTTAGCAACTTGTGATCTTTCTAATGACCAGCAAAGTATTATTAAGGTTTCTCTTTGAAAATTTTCATTCGTGGGGTACCAGCTCCCCTAATAATGAGCTGCCACTGCAAGAAAGGGAAGCCGGGAACATTCTTGAGATTTGGTGGAGACATCTCTGGGTGAAGGGCAATATTATTATTGTTGTGTGAGAGTAGAGTGAGGAGAGAGAGGCTGGGTGGAGACAATTTCGTGTGCATGGATGGGTAGAGCGGTTCATCTTGAGGTGCCACGAGGGGGTTTTAGGGGAGATGGAGAACCACAACCAATGCCCAAACCGTCCAAAATCGATGATCGTCAAAATCTTAATGCGCACGAGCCAGTAAGCCTGAAATTAAATCCATGCAGTGTAATTCAAATTCAATGGCATTTATTTAGCCAAGTGAAATTCATTATCCCTTTTGCATGAAGGCACCTTGGTAACTGCAGCTGCACAGTGGCAGTTACTTTATAGCCTGGTTAGATTCGGGCTGCTGTACCGACACGCATCGGCATGCTCAATGCGAACGACGTCACGGGCTCGGAATGATTTGTGATTTGGTAACATGCGCGCTCGCACGCACGCCCGCCCGCCCGCCCGCCCGCCCGTCCAGACGCTCATGCCCACGTTGAGAAGGCGTTGTTCTGCTTCTCGCAGCGGATGCCCTTGCAGGTGTCATTCCCCTGCCCGGCGGACGTCTCGTAGTAGAAGTACAGCTGGTTGAGGCCGTTGGCGAAGGCGAGCAGCACGAGGCAGTAGATGAAGAGGAACTTGAGGATGTCGAGGAGCATGCGGCCCAGCGAGATCTGCAGCGGCCCCAGGTGCGAGTTGGCCGTGAAGAGCGAGATGAGGCGCAGCGAGCTGAAGATGTTGGCGATGGCGAAGAGGGCCTCCGCGACGAGCGTCGGGTGCCACATCTCCCACTGCTCGCGCGCCTTCGAGCCGCTGTACTGTGAGGGTAGGGGCGGCGGTGACGGCGGTGGTGGCAAAAGGGGGAGAGAGGGTGGAGATGGAGGAAGGAATGGCAGGGTGAGATATTTGTAAGCGCCATACCTCCGCATTGGTGGTCCGTGTGACCTCTCCAGTTTTGGGATTCTGCGAAGGAAGGAAAAACTCGTGGGTTTGTGCAATACTTTCCAGCGCGCGTTTTGTCCGCGGAAGGCTTTAATTAGCCGCAATGACGGCAGCGTTGACATTAAGCGCACGACTAACGGCAGGTCTGTCGGTGGCGATGAGATAACGGGGCTTAGATGACGGCTCTGACGAGCAATTGACAGACGGGGCTAATGCGTAAATGCTTTCAACCTGAGATGCAAAGCGTCAAGTATGCTTTGCAAATGTTTTTACTGGAAGTAAAATGTACGTAAACACATTACGTTACAGCATTGATCCTGGTGCATAAGACAATTATATTCATAAGAAAAATACTCGCCATGTTGATCGCTACCGCTGCCTTATAACCAAAATACGTACAGTATGTTTAATAGGCTTACAAATATAGAATATCCTGAAACGTTATCTGATGTTGCAGGTAATGGTGTACTAGATATTATACAGCTGTAGAAATAATAATGAACAATCTACAACCCTTTGCCAATCCATTGCTACATTAAGGCATCCCCGCAATATATCGGCCATTGAGGGGTCGGTTGTTTGACCGTGCATCACCGCTGATCTTTTGCCATGGGTGAGACTCAACCTCAGGTCGCCTGGGTTCGCAGTGTAGTGGGATTACCACCACTGCACCAGCGCTCCCCTTATCCCCTCCACTCCCCCATTCTGTAAGAAGGTAGTGTTTTCATGGTGAATGGTATAAGCTTAAAAGGACTCCCTTGATTAAACGGTCACACGACAATGCAGCATTTTGTTTACAGGAAACACCATTAACAAGGCTATGAGATCCGTCATATGTGCACCCAGTGACAATGCAGCTTGGCAGTTCTATTGATGGGCATTGAATTAATTTAACATGTGACTTCCTATCTCGGAAGGCAAGCACGCTAAAGAATAAGCCTCGAAAAACAGCACTGTCATGTAGAAGACTACACACAACCCTTTCATAGCTTTTGAATGAATGAATAATATATTTTGAAGATATGTTAGACACACGGACAATTCATCCTGAGATTTCAAATGCTGCCTTTTCTCCTCGATGGAGTATGCCCATTGTTGTAGATAGGTTTGCCCTTAGGCCCATTTATATCCGGCGCAGAGAGACACAAACCCGCGCCCTAAAGTGCGGCCAACCGGACGACACAAATTAAATCGCCGTGAGGCCAGACTTCAATGACCATTATTGGCCACTCTTTCGAACGGGGAAGCATTTTTTGTAAGAAAGCTGGTAATGCAGTATATCACTCTGCGCAAACCACTCTGAAGTTTGGTGCCACGTTTGTGGCTTTTTCCACGAAATCCTGCGAAAACTAACGGAAACAGTAATTCTACGCGGTCATTCGTTTGATTGCTTCGTCGTGAGATTGAGCCAGTGGGTGGCTTTCGTTGGTGTCCCGTTGTTAGAGGTAACAACATCCTCACGTTACGCCTTGCGAAGTTGATGTCTGGAGTCAAATATAATTGCCCTTGGATTTTTTTTCTCAGTTTAACCTCAGAAATGAAAGTTCACCCCAAATTGTCGAATTATATTGATTTGGCAAATTGTGCCATGGCTATGAGCAGGGAGACAGACAACGCGCTATTGAAAAGTAGCAAACGCCACACCCATAAATTGCTTGGCAATGGCGACTGCTCGTGTGCAAGTGCCAGATCAGCGCGTACATTTCTTGCTAAATGTGTAATGCAAGATCGGGCGTGCATGTTGGGAACCAGACGTGAAGATGCTAGTCTTTCAAAACAACTAAAAATGTTGCATTATAATTTTTCCTAATTATATGCCAATTGTGCTGTTGGTGTCATTTCATGAGACATTTCAGTTTTGAACCTCTTGCAAATAGGCAGCGCACCACCCAGCTTCTGGAAAGTGACAGAATTATGAGCTTTTTAAAAATACCTTAGAATGTTTAGTTTTATGCATGAAAATTACACTTCACAATTCGCTGAAGATTCACAGATACGCTGGTGAGCCATTGGCAACCATTGCCCCAGCTCTGGAGTCCTCGATATACGGTATAACCCCTCTTAATTACGGAGCCGGTCGTTAAGTCATTTGGTCATTAAGCGAGTATAGGAAATGCAGTACGCCAAGAATTCAAAAGAGGTGTTTCCACGTCAAAGTGCAGCAGACACTGAATGTAATTAATGTCCTAACGCTCATGAATGAACGTCGCTGATTGGTCAGACCACTTTGGAGCTCGCCGATTGGCCGAAATTGGCGGTCGCGTGCTCGTCGTAAGCCCGTCGTTAACAGGGTCGGTAAGCGAACACATTGGGCTCTATGGAGGCCCTCGTTAAGCGATTAGTCCTTAACAGGGCTGGTCGTTAAGACGGATTTCTTTTGTATAGGATATTCTCAACCAATTAATGAGTGTATGTCGGTGTGGGTGGAAACCAAAGCACCTAGAGAAAAGCCACTCTCTTCCATACCACACTCTACTGTATCACCGTCTCCTGTCAAGCCAGGATATGGCACCTCGACGCCCATGGGAAGGGAGTTTCGCAACATTTGTGCAAACCACCAACCCTCGCTGCCTCCACACTGCTGGATTACAGGCCACGTGCATAGCAACCACTGTTCATGAAAATCAAAACGGATTTTTCTTTTCCCACCAGAGCTAGAATAAGCCAAAATAAGTGAAAATAAAATGTCATATGATTTTTTTTCTATTCTCATTGGTGACCAGACTGAGATTATTAGAGTTGCACAGTGGTAACAATTGTGGCTCAGCAAGAAGGCCATGGGTTCGATCCCAGACTCGGGTAACTTCCTGTGTGGAGTTTGTATGTTCTCCCCCTGTTCTACACAGGTTTCTTTGGGGTACTCAGAAGAAAACAGTGTAAGTGGTATTGGCCAAATATACTAATGCTGAAAAATAACTTGCAAATTACTCAATTGGAATTGCAAGCAGCAACCCCCTACTGTGAAAACTTGGCAGGGCCCTACTGAAGAGAGAGAGAGAGAGAGTGTTGAGACTCAGTGAGGCTTTCCTGGGTCAAACAAACTAAGCAAGCCAATCAACTCCGCTGTATGTGAGAATCCAGTTTAATCCACGGGTGGTTGTCCACATTCAAACTCAAGATGTCAGTGGTGCCAGCTCAGTAGTCTGATGCAGGGGTGCAACTATCGGAGGCAGGCCGGGGTGGGTAGGGGGGCAGAGTCAACAGATAGACAAGTAAAAAAATGGTATGAAAAAAATAACACAAAAAATTCCAATAATTAACCATAAATGCCAAAAAAGCATTGTTACAAATGAAAAAAAATATTTTTCCGAAAAACACATTGCGTAAAATATAGCCGCGCTACTGCTGGTGTTTGTTCCTGAACACCAGGCTTTTTTTTCCGAACTGACGTGCGCATGAAAGCAAGACGCTTCATAACGCAATCGTGAGCATTGTACCTGTAAACGTTTGATTAATACCGTCACTAGTGAGATTGTCTTCCTCTAAACCCAATACACGGTGCATATAAAATAATATATGGTTATAGCCCACATATGATTGTATATGGGTTAAAAACATTCCGTAGCTATTTAAGTCAAAGGGAGTCGGGAGAAAAGAGTGGGTGCCCACAGTCGTATCGTCGATGCCCCCATTAAAATAGGTCGTTGTGTCCCTCGCATGATGCAGTGTTAACCCTCTGAGTTATCCGACCAGCTCTGACAATCTCTTTTTTTGTGATTCCATTTGAGGTTTGGTGCTGGGAAACTCACAGACTAATCTCTGAGACGTCAGCTTCAGAGCAATGTCTCGCGGAAGGTCAACGGAGCCACTTCTGCATCGTCAGGTTGTGGCCAGTGATGCGGACTCATGACGTGACACGGGAACATTTAAGCCTGGCAGAGCGCATCGACTTTTGGCAAAGTTACATAAAAAAAAAGCGTAGGGGCTCCGTGTATTCGCTGGGTTCCTCTTCGAGACTCATGAGCGAGTAGTGCTAATCCATGGACGATTGTCAGGGTGAAAATAATAAAATGGCCACTTCTCTTTATTTTTCCTGGTCACTCTTAGCTGCCGGGGCCACATCTTTGGTGACGAATAGCATATCATCGTCATCGGCCATCTTCTGAACAGTCTTAAGAATGCGTTCAACCTGTGTTTGCTCTCAAATCCGCGTGTTCTTCTTTCCATCTCTCAATGTAATTTCACGCATGCATAGATAGAGGCTCCACCCGACTCAAAATGGCCTCCACGAACATGTGAAACTGTAGACTATGTTTTAAAGAACGAGTTGGGCAATCAAGGAGCGAGAAAAAAGGCAAATTTAAGGTATAATTAAAGGCAATGCTACACGCAGGGCAGGAAATGGGCCACAGGCGCTTGTTGATGGTTCATTTAATTCGTATCGAGCGGTCCCGCCATCGACAAAACCTTCCTGATTAACTGTAACCAACATCGATACGTCAAATTACCTTGCACAATGTCAGCACAGCGGGGTGCATTACGGACCCCCGAGGACAGCCGCCGCTGGCGGTCAGCCTCGATGCACGGAATCAGAGCGTTTGCTGCCTAAACCTGCCGTGACGCACATTCAGTCGCTGTGCACATTTAATCCGGCGCCGCGGGGTTTAAGCCGACCGTGCTTCTGACAGAGGCGGCGGTGGCTGCTGCTGTTTACGTGGCCACGCGAAGACAAAATCCCGCTCCACCTGCGTGCGCCAGACTGCCAGCCAGCCGGCCAGGCCGAGACGGCCTGAAATCCAGCCTCGGGGCAACGAAATAGAGACACCAGCGTATACATTATTGGGGTTTGAGCGCCTGGTACTTGATTACGGAGTAAACAAGTTGGAGGGGTAGAGTAAATGGTCTGGCCGAGTGGTGCTGCGGCACAGGGACTCGACTCGCAGTCTGGAAGGTTGCAAATTCATTTCCCAGCTTGGAGTTGACTCGGAATATAGTCCTACGGGGGAGGGTGTGATTTAAAGTTGTACCACTTTGTGGAAAGTCAACATAGGTTGAGTTATGGATGGACTGGCTCCCACCGTAGCAATGTGGAATTTGTGTCACTGGCTCAAGGCCACCAGTGGAGATGAGTACTGCGCAACACACATTTTGCTTTTATTTTAGGACACTCCTATGTGTGGGCCAGTTATAATTTTTTAAAGAATAAATGACAATAGCAGGAAAATTTGATGTTAATTTACTTATATTTTTACTTATTCATCTAGGAACGCCACACTGAGCTGGATGACTCTTTTTCAGGAAGGTCCTGCATTGGGTTTTAAAAATATTTTCAGCCAAGTAATGAGTGTTTATTGAATACAAATAGGAGGAGAGGAGTGCACCTGGAGAAAACCCCATCCAGATGGAAACAGATGGCAATTAGTCCACTTGCTGCACTGCCTTCTACTGACGAGCCAGGGTGTGGCTCCTCCATGTCCATGGGAGGGGAGTTTAACAATATCTGCACGGTGATACACCAACCCTCCACAGTTCTGGATTGCAGGCCACGTGCATATCCACCACCGCCCGGCTGTAGAAAAATCCATGTGTACAATAGCCAATGGTCAACTTGTAGGCATTCACTATTCACTGTGTGAGAACACCATGAGTTGCCCTGTCTCCTTTCCTCAATACATGCAAAACCATCACAATCGTCATCGTCTCCACTCTATTATTGTCGAGCAAAATCAGAAACATCGCAACCCTGTCGTGTGACCTTGTTTAACGGGGGGATGGGGGTGGGGCATATGCAAAATCAGAGGGGGTACAACACCAGTCGATGTCAAACAAACAATTCACAAATGTTGACTACATACACATGGGCTGAGCCTTCAGCATGGGGGGGGTGTTCTCACTCAAGCCCTCCCTCTGGGTCACCGGGCCTAAACGACAGGCCAGAGAGGGCATCATCATCATCAGCGGCGGCGGTGGGGGCTACGCGACTTACTTTCAGGTACGCCACGAGCTTGAGTGAGATGGTGGCGAGATAGAGGGAGTTCATGACAAAGTCCATCAAGTTCCACCAGTCGTGCACGTACTCCGAGAAGCCGCCATCCCACATCTGCTTGATCTCAGCCCAGATCAATCCTGCGCGTCGCACACGGGAAGGAACGCCGCCCGTGAGAACGTCCACCGAAGGAAATGGAGCGACGAGTCGAGCTTGCGCGCGGAAACCTGATGGATTGTTGGATCGCAGGAAATGTGAGAGAGATGTGGCGATGGCTTTCGCGACTGATGATGATCACACAGGGGTGATGAACGCATGCGGCAGGTTGCACATCGCGTGGTTAATATTGTGGATGCTGTAGTTACTTGACAGTACCTCGGCCAAGGTTGCTGTCAAGGTCGTGAGACTAGAGCACACATCAGGCAACTTTTAATGCTGTGTTTCCATGACACCGGCAAGTGCGTTGGCTTTGTGTACCAGGATAGTGCCAGGATCTGCTCACATGTATGTTGAACTTCTTTCGCACCGTACGCAGCCAACCGTGCTAATTGGAGGTGCAGGGAAAGGACAACAAACTAAACACAAAAAAGCAGTTCTAAATAAATGTATTTTAGATCTAGATGTAAAAGTGCATAGCTCCAATGGCTTTATAATAGGAAGAACGTTCCAGACGGCCACAGAAGTGCATCTGAGAGGGCGGAATGCAGTGACCGCCCTTGTTCGATGGCTAACCAAGAGCCACTGCTGCTAGGATGACCGGAGATGGTTTATGCTACGTTCCCATGACAATCCTGACACCGGTTTGGCCTGACGTCAAGCGAGTTTGGTTACACGGGGCTTTCCACTACGGAGCTGCAGTACTCTGACCTGGGATGCCCTCGGAACCAATGTGGAAATCGTGGCTCATGAATTGTGATTTGGGCTGTACTGTTGATTCCGGAAAACAAATCGGCCATTCCTGGGCCACTCAGCGCAGATGGCAGTGGTTGTGGAAACTTAACACAAGTATCTTGGGCTGAAGTCTTAGCACAAGGAAGCAAATAGGTGACTCAGCTGGCAAGTGCTATCCTGTGTCAGAGAAATTAACCAATTCTGCTGAGAGGCTGGGTTTGAAACCTGAGCAGACCAGTTTGACTTGACACACACGTGAAAAAAAATCACTGAATTTAATTTACGAGCAAAAGTCTGTGCATTATTGAGTGTTAAATGTTGCTATATTGATCAAATAATGACCAAATTAGATGAGTTATTATTTACCAATACGTAGTTGGATGATTGCAATTGTGATGTGTTTAGATGCTGGTTACTAAAGGTGCTTCCAGGTAAAATGGATGATGATGATGTTGGTGGTGATGATGGTAATGGCGTTGGTGGTCTTGGTGTAGACGGTTGGTAGTGACGATAACGATTCTGATGAATGACCAAATAAATTCGGAGAAGCTTTACGATGCCTCATCTCTGGGTTGTTCCCTGCCACCGGTATGGGTTTAGCTTTACCCGGCAGCTGATGCCAGTAATAAAATTATAAAAAAAAAATGGAAAAATATAAATGACAAAAGCATTAAGGCCAAGAAAATGTGCTCGCGATAAACATTCATTTTAATGCAGGACACACGAATAAAAGTCCAATTATACCCTTCAGCAATTAAAGTGACAGCAGATGTTTCAATAAAACAATTAATTAGCTTCAACTTCAAGGTGTTCTCACACATACACGCGCGCGTCTACGCATGTGCTGTGTACAGTTATACGAAATTATCCACTCCACGCATCTGCGCTCGGTTTCGCGGTTGGGCTGCACGGCGTCTCCGATGCGTTTTCGGTTTGTTACAGCTGCGTGTCGTTCCGCACGATGTCCGACGGTTTGCTCCACGTGCTGGGAGCTTCTACAGGAATGTAATTCTTAATGAGCTCTCGGCACGGGGAGCACAGAACGTTATGCCGAACAACGCGGGGTACAACCCGAAAACGTGCCGACCTGTGTCACCTGTCTAGCCGTTGACTCTTTTTTGAAGGCTGAGCCGACCTACTGGCGGCTAAGTTTGTGTTCCAATAACAATACAATTGCCACAGGCGCTGTATGTGTGTGTGTGTGTTTAATTTATTTTGCAGCGTACGTGGCCAACCGTGCTATTCGGAGGTGCGGGGGAAGGACAACAAATCTTGATTTAAAGTTTTCGTGACTGCAGGAATCCATACTCTTTGGTTCTTTCGGTAAAGTCACGTAGGTATAAAATAAAAATAAATCACGACGTTTCGGGCGCAACACAAGCGTCCGTCACCTGATGACGAACGCTTGTGTTGCGCCTGAAACGTCGTGATTTATATTATTTTTCTACCTACGTGACTTTACCGAAAGAACCAAAGAGTATGGACAACAAACTAAACAAGCATGACATGTAAGGCAAACCAGGGTTTCAGTGTCGAGTCAAGAACACGAAACAAAGAGTCGTGTTACAGCAACAACCCCAGACAGGAAATGTCACCTAGATAACGTTATATACCAATGGCCCTAGTGTTATTGGTGAGCGCCTATTAAGGCCGGCACTGCATATGAGGAGAGTGTTGTGTGGTGTGAACCACTCCTATCTGCCTGTGTATACCGAGTGCGAATGTTCACATACAAGTTCTGTACTCGTTTTAAGGCTGAGTCGACCTGAAGAAGGTCGAGAACCGGTTCTGATACTACTTGCCACTGACCTCGGCAAGGATTCAAACCAAGGCGACTAGATTAATGGCGCAGTAACTCCCCATAACACGGATACACAAACGATGAATGAAGACTTGACAGTCATACGCTGGTGCTAACAAGCGCCTATTAAGGCCATTAGGGCAGATACATGGGTGGTGGGCCAGCACCACTCTTGTTTCGTGATTGTGAATGTTCACATACAAGTTGTGTACTCATTTTAAAGTTGAGTTGACCTAGTGGTGGTCAAGGACTGCCACTGTTACCCATGGCACTGACCACTCATGTTATACCCATGGCACTCACCACTCATGTTATACCTATGGCACTGACCACTCATGTTATACCCATGACACTCACCACTCATGTTATACCCATGACACTCACCACTCATGTCATGCCCATGGCACTGACCACTCATGTTATACCCATGACACTCACCACTCGTGTTATACCCATGGCACTCACCACTCATGTTATACCCATGGCACTCACCACTCATGTTATACCCATGGCACTCACCACTCATGTTATACCCATGACACTCACCACTCATGTTATACCCATGGCACTGACCACTCATGTTATACCCATGGCACTCACCACTCATGTTATACCCATGGCACCCACCACTCATGTTATACCCATGACACTCACCACTCATGTTATACCCATGGCACTCACCACTCATGTTATACCCATGCCACTCACCACTCATGTTATACCCATGACACTCACCACTCATGTTATACCCATGGCACTCACCACTCATGTTATACCCATGATAGCGAATAAAATCCATGCGGCCGGGATTATGGTGGTGGCTATGCGCGTGGCCTGTAAATCGGCACCGTGCAAGCTGGGGTTGGTGGATCGCTTTATATGTTGCAAAAACTCCCTTCACCCCCCTGGGCGGCGAGGAGGAAGCTCGTACCCTGGTTCGCCAGGAGAAGACAGAAAACCAGCAAAAAATGTGGACTCCACCTGGGAGAGAGTGTTCCCCTTCCCACGAGGTATTTCTCTCCGGGTGCTCCGGTTTACTCCCAGTGTAAACGCTCATGAATTGGCCGATAACACCTTAGGGACCATCCATTTAGTACGTAAGCATGGAGGGGGGAGGGTGGGGGGGTTAACCCAAATGCGTACGCTTGCGTATGGGGGGTCTACTGACAATGTACGTAAGCATAGGAAACGGCGGGGGGGGGGTGGTGAAGCCTCGATAATAATTCGTCAACATTGGCCTTTAAATGAGCCACAGTTCAGTTTCTTCAGCGGTCAGACCACAAGTACTACCGGGAGAAGTGGGACTGTGGGAGCGGTGTCACTCCTTGTGTTCCACCACCGTACCCCTGACTGCAGCTATCACGCAGCTCAGCAGAATAAGTGGCAAAGGTACGCAACTTAATTCATTAATGCAGCCGGCGGTGGACTATCTGTTTGCTTCAACACGATGATAATATTATTAATCCTTGATCGTTTCTGCGTGGATTAAACATCGGCCGTTCTATAGGAAATTGGTGGGGGGTGGGGGGGTGCGTCAATCGTACGCACGCAGGTGGAGTGGTGGTGGTGGTGTAAAAAGTCCGCGTGCGTACAGGGACGGGTAAGGAGGGGTCAAGTTTTGACAGATTTTTTTTTTCGCGTACGAGCTCAACGGATGGCCCCTTAACATAGAGGCCCGCAGAGGCTCGGCCAGTTTTTTTTTTGGCGCCGCCGGCTCATCGCACGGCTGCCGCCTTCCCTGCTCGTTTGTGGTTTTTCCTCCTGGTACCCTCCGGCGCGCTACAAGTTGACATTATTGTCGTGCAGTGCGCGAAACCGCCACACTTCTCGCTTCCCGCAGCAACCGCCATTCGCCACTAAGCTGCGGTCACTTCACCACGGCGCCTGTGCCAGGCTTATGTGCACTTGAAGGCCTTCAATTCGCTGACCACAAATTAAATATCCCCGAAAACTAGCGGGAACTCACCAACAGATCTCGAAGGATAGCCATATATATATACCGAAGGGGGAGGTGCCGTTAGACAGCACGAGGCTGTGGAGGTCATATCAACAGCGGGCATGCTGCCTTTGTATCCCCAGCGCCTGGGCGTTACCCACCACATCAAGTACTCCCTTTTAAGACCGAGCGGACCTAGCGGTGATCCGAGAGACGGGTGAGATATCACTCGCCGCGGCTGGGAATTGAACTTGGATGACCGGGGTTTGTACTGTTTGCGGGCACCTCTGAGATCCTGGATGTCACACAAGGCGGTGGTTGTGGTTTAGGAGCACGCCCGGACGTCTTTGTCTGCCCAGTGCTGATGTTTACGTACCAGGTACTCGTTCCAGTACAGGGCAAGACAAAGACAACGCCACGCACGCGGCTCCCATTGTCAATTGTGCGACACGTAAGGCAAAGATGCCGCTAATTGTGTGACTAATTGACTAATCGCTCTCAGCGTGACTCACGCGCACAAATCATTGCTCAGGCCCCCCGCAACCCCCCCCCCCCAGGCTCCCCACAACTCCCCCCAGGCCCCCCGCAACCTGAGGAAGACCGCTTGTGTTGCGATCGAAACGTCGTGGGTTTTTTTTTTGCTTTTAATTTTGATTTTTTTTTCTATCTACGCGACTTAACCGAAAGAACCAAGAATATAGGCATGCACAACTTACTGTTATTTTACAGCCCTTCTGTAATCCGCTGCTGGAAGAAGGTCTCCCCCATACACAACGAGTTGGGGCACCGTCGTTGTTCGTGACCATACTTCACCAACCCCCCGGCTCAGGTATCGACTCTCGTCCGCCGATGCCGTGGCCAGAGGAGTTCGTGAGAGCACAGAGGCGCCGCCCAATCTACCCCACAAATATTTACGCCACGCACGAGGAGGAGGAGTGGGTGGGCGGGGTGGGCGGGGTGGGCAAGCAAAAGCTTGAGAAGGCACGAACCTAATATCCAGGGCAGGATCATCCACTCGACGAGCGTCGGGGACGGGCCCTGCATGTTGGGGTCGGTGCGCGCGATCTGCTGCGACGCGAGAAGCAGCAGGAAGAGGAAGGTGAGGTACGACGCCGTGTGGCAGATGAACTTGATGAAGGGCTTCCTCAGGAAGAAGGCCATGCGGCTGCGCGGTGCGAGCAGGTAGCACACGGAGAAGAGCGGGAAGAGTAGGCCCAGCGTGGCGCACGTCACGAGCTTCACGGCCCAGTGGCGGCGCCGCCAGCCGGGGAAGCCGTCGTACCACAGCGACGCCAGCAGCTGCTGGCAGTTGGGCTGCGCGACGAACTGCGGACGAGAGACGACAGAGGACGAAAGACGACAGAGGGGGTCCGCGTGAGCTCCGGTGTTGCGTTCAGTTTGTCGGCGAGAAAAAAAAAAAACAACATTCCCCCGACGAGGCTGCTGGATGATGGCACTGGTGGTGTTTTTTTTTTTGGCAAGAGCCCTCCATGAACACCGTGGAGCCCATTCATAGCAGCCGAGCAAACATTGTGATTTTTTTTTTTTACGCCATGATATTCCATCAAGGTGGACTGAAGGTCATGCAATAAAATACATGGATTCGTTTTGCCATGAACAAATAAAATAACGTTCAGGCCCATCAGTCTTCAGGCCGACAGGCTTTTCCTTGATATAGAGGGCACCAGGACTTGCGACGCATGCAATGAAGGCTTACCAGTGTCGCCATCCCAGAAGAGCTATTAATACGTGGTGGCAACAGTCGCAATGCTGCCTCAAGATTCTGGGAACAATCCTCGGGATTAACTATATCTCACAAAGTATCGATCAATGGAGGCAAAGCCAGGCGATACTTGGGCAGTGGGTTATACCAAGAGACAGAAATCAAAGCAGCTCCCTACCCAAATTTATTGAGGGGTCATGCTCATCTCCATTAATGGCTTTTAACCGGTGCTGGAAGTTCCACATTTCCATGGCAAGCAACAGTCCCTCCGTAAGATAATGCCTGTCGACCATTCAGCAGTGAATAATGCCAAAGCACCGATTTTATTTTTTTATTACATATCAATATTTAACAGCTTCTAGAAGATATTAAACATATGAAAGATGCACAGATGAGCTCAAATAAGCAGCATTGAGGGACAGACCACAGAGGTGAATGAGTATTGCTCATCCTGATGACAAAACTTTATACTCACGGATGCGTGGGGTCAAATGCAAGGGTCACCAGAAAGGTTTAGCACCAAACTTTAAGTGACGAGCGTGATACTTTACTCCGTAAGCAATTGCCAAGGCCATGGCATTTTACAGTAAACTCAAATGGGACCTAATTTTCACGGTCAAATGCATGTTCTTTAGCCACATTGGCCGGAAACTAGAAAAAATAGGGTAGTTTTTCTTACAATCAATGGGATCCACATAAAGAGCAGCAACGGAACTGTCGCCAGCATAAACTCAATGCGAGGTTAATTGAGAGACGCGTGCATTGCAAGCATTTGCTTCTGGTTTAGATTATTTGGCTGTTACACATCTTCACACGATATGCCACTTTGTTGAGCTATCATTTGTGGCCAGGTCGCTTCTGAAAAAAGAGCTATATAGCTCAATGGTGCCTTACCTGATTAATGTAGAAATAGTTTAGTTCATTAAACCCGGCGAATGCGGTCGCTTAAGTCCAGGGGTCGGCAAGCAAAATAACAAGAAGAGCCATTTGTTTTCAAAATTCGGTCAAAAACTCAATATTTCAAGAGCCGCAACGCAATGTGAATACAAGACGGTTGTCCTTAATAAAACAACATCACGAAGCAATCCTTAAAGAGCCGCACGCGGGCTCCAGAGCCACGGGTTGCCGACCCCCTGCTCCAGTCGGCTTCTCGAAGGCTAAGCAAGGCCGAGCCCGCGCGTCGCGCGCTTGGACCGGCACGTGACGCAGGTAGCCCAGACGTGCGCGGGCCGTGGCTGCGCACCTCCTTCTGGTGGTACTTGATGGCGAGTTTGAGCCTCTCGAGGTTGAAGGCGTCCGGCGCCTCGGGCGCGCCGTCGCTCTCCTCCTTGTAGTTGAGCACGATCTCCAGCTCGCGCGTGCTGCGCGTCTGGTCGAGCAGCTCCTTGGCGAACTGCTTGCACTGTTGCGACAGCTCCTCGTACTCGGCCTTGAACTCGTTCTCCACGCGGCTCAGCTCGCACAGCTCGCAGCTCAGCGTGAACGCCGTGAGGAAGGGGTCCTCGCTAGCCAGCGCCACCAGGCACGGGCTGGCGAGGGCTCGGTACACCGCGAGGCGCGAGCGCGAGTGCCGCAGGCCGTCGGCCTCCGAGCCGGCGGCGCACTGCAGGCAGGCGCAGCGCACGGCGTGCGGCCGGGGCACCGAGACGCCGCGCGTCAGCAGCAGCTTGATGAGCTCGTAGTTGTTGGTGTGCGCCGCCAGGATGATGGGCGTCATGTCGGGCGTGAACTCGGACGAGTGACCCTCGGCGAACTCCGGGACCTGGCGGCAGCGATAACACGCGCGCGTTAGGAAAGCGTCCGCGCCGTGAGTTCTGGTGGTCGCGATGCACCGACTAGGGGAGGGCCCACGGTGTGGTACCCACTATGGCCCCCATGACTTCGTTACACACGGCCCAAGGCCACTTTGAGGCCTAGCCGCATCTTAAACGGCCTGTGCAAACTATATTTTACTTGTTGTCGCGAGCAAACTAAGCCGCACTAATCGGATGTTCGACAGGGGAACGTTTTTTTGATCTGGCAACAACGCCGCATTCATGATAATTGGAGCGTGCTCGGTGAGTTCTGTCACAAGAGCTTGTTTAATGTCTCCTTGGCCTTTCTGTGATTATCAACCATCAGGCGCATGCAGCATCATTGGTGGTGTTCATTCTCATACGAATAGAAAAGATTGGTAGTCGTGCAAATGCAGCCAAGAAAGGGCTGGAGCTGAGAAATACTCCACGGTGATGTGTGCAGTACAAGGTTCCATTGGTGCCTCATAGTAAATTACCAGCTAAGATCGCCATGAAGTCATCCTCATTCATCAAAGCCTTCAGGGACACGGCATCGAGCATAGAGCCAAGTGAAAAAGCATCTGTCACTATTTTTCAGGTGAACACAGTCATGCGTTGCAAGCGGAAACTTAACGTCTCACTTAATATATTCCGGATCACGAGTAGACCGAGAGTTGGCCCATGACGAGTAGGGCAACAGCCTTGGCAAAGATGTATACTGGCTGTGGTGTCTGGGGTGATGGAATATTTTCTGGGTAACTGACCCCGGACAAGACCCGGCTGAAGTTAAGCCCCGGTTGTAAACCGTGCGCTTTTACGGAGGCCCGCCGACCCCCTGAGGATATCTGTGCTGAGCTGTGTCCATACGAAATGAGAGAAAGTAGCAACGCAAACACCTCGGCGGTCCGCGACAGAACCACGCGCTGCCATCAACAGCTGGCGACGGCGCCTGCCCTCATCCCTCCCGTGTCACGCGAATGCACGCACCGCGTACAGAGATTACGGCGCCACACACGTGACCCCTTCACCGCTGGGTGCCCCCCACTCCACCCACCCCCCCCCCCCCCACACACTACCAATTATGCTTCACATCCTACGGTCACAGAATGACGCGGCCACCTATAATGCAGGGTGCTTCAATTATTTTTTAAACGGACTATGGGTTTTGCATTCCGTTATTCCATTTGTACGCGGTACCAATTCTTATCGATGTCGCTCCTCCATTGAGAAGGCGATGTACAGGGTGCTTCAAAAATGTTTTAATACTTCTGAAAATTTGCAACAATACCACGTGACAATGTGCTGCTGCCTCCGGGCTCTGGGGACCGCCTGGTGAGGATTCCAGGCCACGTGTTGGCAATGATGGCGAACAAGTGGATACTCTTTGACTTTTTGAAGCTCTTAATGTGCATTTGTTATTATGTAACGATGTATTATCCGTTCTATTTCCATTAAAAAAGATAGTCTCGTGTAAGTGTTAACGTTTTTTTTTTAAACACCCTGTATTTTTTGGCTTTTATCAGGAACTAGTGCTCTGAGTCGTGCAGGCTTGGCTCTGAGCAGTGTGGGCTGATGCATTCCAAAGACCGCTCAAGTGATTGTTGGAGCTCCTGCCATCCCCATAGGGACGTGGCATGACGTGACGGCCGTGCAGAACGTGTGCGTAATGCGTTTACGTATTAAATTTAAAGTGCAGTGTATTGTTTGAAATGTTGAGCATTGGTTCGTAATAATAGTCATAATTTACAGTCGCTTGTCAATCGAATGCCAGACGATTTAACTCGCCCGGCGATGCGAGTTGCATTCAGGATTTGATATGTCTCATAGCACGATGAGATAAGCACTGTGCCACTACTTTCCCATATCGGTTAAGGCAAGAAGCCTAGTTTAAAAAAAAAAACTATCGCATACATTCGAAACAGACCCAATTAAAAATTGGCCAAACATTGAAGCAGGACCTCCTGTAAATAGTTTTTTTAGGCTCAGTGAGGCTTTCACATTCATGGTGTCTGTTTAAAAATTCCATTAAAAAAAAACCCTTCCACATCAATAAAATATTCAACAGCCTTATTACAATGTGTTCATTTGAGGTAATAATCACAAAACTCAAACTACACTTTCAACCCTGTCAAATTATCTCAGAAATACTTTTTGTATTTGCATCCGAGGAAAAGTGCCTGTGAATAAATCATCCATAATCTCGGAAGCTAAGCAGAAAATTGAGCCTGGATAGTGTTCGGATGGGCGACCACAATGCATGCTAGGCTGTCATAGGCTGCTATGTGACTGTGCTGCATGGTGAGCAGTGGGGAGCAGTGCAGCAAAATACATTTTTGTATTGTACTTCTATGTTACCATATATATGCCCCCCTCCAACCCCGCGCTGAACAGCGTGGTGAAGTATGGTCAAATAGCTCCCACGACGTGGGGAGGCCCTCACCTCCCTCTGTGGACCGACAAAAATGGCCGCACGTGCAGATGAAATTGTCCCCGAGAATTGTATAATTTTTTTTAAAGGAGGTCTTTCTATCGAACGTTGATGCAAGGCCACGACTTTTCTCCTGGCTGGCCATCATTAGTGCCACCGCCTGGATAAAACCCCGTCTGCAGCACGGGCACATTTCGTTCTGATCCTGCCTAACAAGGGACAAAGGAGCGTCCCAGATGATCGGGCTGTCGTCCAGACATCACGCACGATGGCAAAATAAATCTACGGAAACCTGTGTCGTTCTCTGGCACGCGCGCGCGCGTGTATGCACACACACACACACGTGCATGCATCATTCGGTGGACAGCGAGCTATGAATAACTCCTCCGCTGCCAGGGTCATTGCTGTGTTCATGCATTCGCATGAATGATGATGAGCATGGTTTTCACACAGACGAATGTAAGGAACCACTTAACCACTTTTGTAAATAAAGGGGTCACACCATGTAACAGAATGAGCGGTGGACATCGGATGACCCAAACGGGTTCTTGAATGAGGTATTTTGAGTTGAGACAAAATCAAAGGTTAAACTTCAAGCGGTCAGTTTAACACGTAGGCTTTCGCGACCAATATTATTCATAATAACGGTTTTTGGGTTAGATCGCGTTTATTTATAAATGTGTCGTAACCCTCCACCACCCGACACGGCCAATCAGCAAAAAAGTGTCACGTTGACAAAAGACAAATAATTCACTACTTTAGCCCACCGGTGTCTTGAAGAGTGAATCCACATTTACAGTTTGAGTACTGTAAATGTGGATTCATTCTACGTGTGTTATGTGTGTTATACTTCCAATTAAGGGGGAGTGGTGGTGCAGTGGTTTGCGCACAGCGCATTCTGAACTCAATGACCTGAATTTAATTCTTCACCACGGCTAACATCAGTGATGAGTGACAGCTGAACAGGTCCTGGGACCTCTCATTCACCGCCTACACCAACCTGGACCGATCAGCACGGAAATGTAATGGGAAAAATAAAAACCCATCATTGGGAGACCGTCCAGCAGTGGAATTATAAAGGGATGAAAAAGTGTTACTTATAAATTATTACTTTAGTTATAAATAAACACTAATGTTGTGACAGTGGGCTTTAAGGGCACAATTTACTTTGAATGATAAATAAACCGAATGCTATAAAAATGCAGTGACACCTTTTCAATGATCAATAAACCAAAGCGTAGGAATACAACCAAACTGTAAGCGTACTAAAAAATCCAATCACGAAATATAATGCTATAAACCACTGCGCGTCCTACCACAAATGAACCACAATGCTGGCACACGCCTCAAGAAACCCAATGAACACAATGCCACTGTACAGCGCTGCGATGAGGAACGCCAAAACCATCGCGAACGTCGAGACTCGCGCACGGCACCGGGGCAGTGCCCCGAAGCCAACGGGCAGACTTTGTGAGTGGGGGTAGCTTGATGTCATTCCCTCGGCGCATGTCTCGGGCTTCTAGACCGTGGTCTTACATGGGAAACAATGTATGTAGCGTTCGCACGGTGGAACAGTGCTCCATAAGCGCGCAGTGCTTATTTGTGGGCGATTGTGGTGGCGGGTAGTAATAATAATAATTACGAAATGACTATTTGCTTGTATTTTGCTTGGTCGCTCTAAGCTGTTGGGCCACAGTTTTTTGTGATTGATAGAATGTCATCAGCTTCATCAGCCATGATCAATCCATCGCTGGATGAAGGCCTCCCCAAGTTGTCTCCATCTGTTACGATCCAGCGACGTTAATCCTCCACCCAGAACATCATTTCATCGCTCCATCGCCTCAGTGGGTGCACCGTCATCTCTTCTAGGTACGCGTCCTGCCTAAGTCCATTTCCTTTTCTAAACAGTGTGAAAATGTATACTCTTTGGTTCTTTCGGTAAAGTCACGTAGGTATAAAATAAAATAAATCACGACGTTTCGGGCGCAACACAAGCGTCCGTCATCAGGTGGGAAAGCATGGCCTGCTGCTGATGCAGACTGTTTAAAGGTTAGTGTGAAAAGGGTAATTAATTAATGTTTATCTCCGAATCTATGTTTTCCTCTTTCTGCCCCTCAATGTAATTGCATGCACGCATCTACGTGTTTTTTCTCTCGAGCATTCATATGAAAAATGTAATTAATTTTGTTGGCTACTCATCATTTTTCTCTGTCCACGTGACTTTACCGAAAGACCCAAAGAGTATTCATCAGGCGTAAGCCTATTGAGATTAACAGTCTTATTTTTTTTAAAATATATATCTGTGGAGAGCAGTGTTAATGAAAAAATACTGTACAGCAGTATAAAATCGATGCAGTGCAAGAAATTAAACTCAAAGAGATATTTTTTTAATACAAATAGTTCCCCCCCCCTCCCCAACAATAATACGAATCCTAAGCAGAGATTTCCAAGCGTAATACATGAAGACTAACATGAGGGTAATTGCTAGGCAGTCAAGCCAGCCATGTGTTCTGTGGAAGGCTGCTCGTGGGGTTTATTTTTTTCCAGGCGCAGTGAGAA